ATCGCAACTACTTGTACTTTCAGACATGTCACGTGATTGTTGCCAGGGTTTGAGCCAATCAGAGCGTTTACAGGCAGGGCCTGAACCCCTGATCATGCCTTGCCTGCCAGCTCTACTACGATATTATATGTCATGTACCCGCGCGCGCGCACGGTTCTCCTGCGCTTGGGCTTGCTTTCCCTTGGTAGTTGGAAGTCAGTGGCTGTTTTAGTACTCTTAGATTAGGCCACCCTTTGTTAATTCATTGTTTAACGTCCTTTTTTTCGCGAAAAGGTACGCGGGAGGGCGGAAAAAAAACAAAAGCCCATTCCAAAAACTGGAAACCCCAATCAAACATTTTGACCAGTAAAGCATGTGATATATACAATATTTCTGGGTCTAACGGCACTTGCAGGCATAGAACAACACTCTTTGATGGTACATTGGAGCACATGCGTGATGAATCCAACAAAACAGGTACAAAGCATGGAGTTAGCATGTCATGAATTCATTACATCTGGATTTTTACTAGGACACACACCGTACGATATTTAAAAGCCAACAAAAAAAGAAAAAAGAACACAAGACAAAGGCATGCCCGGGAGGCAAGATTATAAGTTTAAGGTCATGATCGGCACACTGTGAAACTACACAATCATGTATTTACAACTTCGCATATTATTGGTACTACTACTTTCTTGTTTTTTTTTCCGGTCGGAGGCAAAAAGGTACGCGGGCGCGGACGTTAAACAACGAAAAAAGAAAGGGTGGCCTTATGTACAGAAAGTGGTGGACATCACGCAACTGCAGTGTAAATTAAAGGGTGGTTGTCAACTGACAACCGCATAATTTTTCGACATAATAAATAAAAGAATTTTTATCTAAAGAGTGAAAAGCAACTAAATAGAGCGATTGTCGGTTGACAACCCCCCTTTTATTTAGATTATGTATCTGAAGTAAACACAACGTAGAAATATCACAATTGTCTCTTGTGTATTATATCCGTCTGATGTCACCAGATCATCACACGGTGCTGTGACCAAGATACGGATCATGCCGAACGCTGATTCAACTGGACGAATCGCGAGGCTTTTCAGATGCAGGGACACAATGGAAACTGAATGACTTCAGAACAGCACTGAAGCGTCATGTTATCATGCAAGACGCCTTTCTGCGCCGCACAAACACAGGCGGTACTACAGCAGAAGATGTCACTCACTATACTGCAGGTGCACTGGTGACAGGCGCGTGCAAGTTCACCAGAAGGAAGCGGTCTGATGTTAACTGGAATGCCAGCAGTATGACAGGGTGTGCATTCTGCGGCGGATCTCACCTGGACAAGAGCTGCGCGAAATACACAACAGTAGCACAGCGGAAAGAATAACTGATTGAACAGAAGCGTTGCTTTGTGTGTTTGCGCACAGGGCACCGGTCAACTCAGTGCAAGGCCACCCGCAAGTGTAATGTGTGTTCTCGCATGGGTCACCAATCAGAGTCAACATCATGTCACGATCTGCCCTGAATCTCAACAGAAATCTGACAGCAGTACCAACATAGTAGCTGACCAGCCTGTAGCTGACGAGGTACCAGCATCTAGCGCAACAGCAGCTAGTGCAGCATCAACCAGTATCGCCATTGACCGTAAGATAGTCAGTCGTCTTGATCGGTGCAGATTTCCTCTGGGAGTCTTGACGGGGAGCACCAGAGGACTTCCGCCAGGACTACAGTTTCTGCCTACCACAGTCAGTTTTGTGGTGACTGGCCGACCACGTCACTCCAAGCACTCAGCTACGCCGATGAGCAGCCATGCCAGCTATCGTTTCTCTAACTGATGCAACTTCCGACTCCTGCACCATCCCAGATCTGTGGGACCTAGACTGTGTTGACATCTAGGATTTTAGGCAATCTTACTAACAACGACCTAGCCATTAGGCAATTCATCATTGTTCTACGATTTTGCCTGCCACCAATCGTCATGACCTGCGATACTGAGAAGGCCATTTTACAAATCAGTGCCAACCCAGCATACAGAGATGCGACACGATTTCTGTGGTTCGCCAACTCCGACAGTCCATCAGTCACCCCATCCAGCCTGTTCACGCTCATAAGCAGTCCATTTCTGCTTGGCGCGTCTATACAGCATCATTTGGCACAGCAAGATGACAAAACAGCTAGCAGTGGCTATTGGTGAGAACATAGGGTCTTCTGGCGTATGGTATAATTATATGAGCAGCATGAGAGTGAAGTAAAAGACTATTAGCTCAAACATTCAGTCTTTTAAGAGTAGGTGTTTCATCACGGAATAGGTTCTGCAGTTCACATACACACTGCAACAATGGACCAGCAGTGTCCAGCATACAATAGAGTCATGTGAATATGTACCGTATGCATACTCACAGCTGCAAGGCCAGCGCCCCGTGGCTGCTTGACTTCTCAATCGATATAAATTTTCACAACAGTAAGACTCTGTGATCAATCAGAGCTGTGCTTCGAAGTAGTCACAAATGCCCCATGATCAGTCACAAAACAAAACTTTGCAACCAGTCACAGCTTCCACGGTGCCCCAAGACCAGTCACCAGAAATGACCGTGGTAAATCTGCAGGGAGTTCCATAATCTGTTCATTGCACAGTTCACTATGCTATGATTCAAGAGGGCGGGGGGGGGGGGGGGGGGGGGGGGTAGCGTTCCTGCGGATGCGGAAAACTTGGCTGGAACCCGAGTGTCACGTGAACCCTGATTTTTAAGACTTTTATTATTTGTTTTACGATGAGCCTATTATACGCGATACAGGCTCAGAACACACTTTTCATCTAGTTGGCATATCAGGGATATAGGGCGGAGCAGCCCATATCCCCAATTATGACACGCGAGTAATAGTGAAATACGATTGGCGTATTGTGCTGGACTGACTGCGGTAATGTAAAGCTAAAATAAAGCAGTCAGTTTGCCCTTAGCATGGCCTTGTCATGAGGGTGCCACATCCGTGGAAAGGCAACATGCCGGCTAATCTCCCTGAGAAGTTGAGTGGTTATCAGCAGGCGATGACGCTGTGTCGATGATGACCTGTTGATGCCCGACAGGAACCTTGCGAGGAGAGTTATTGGGCCTGACGGGTAGGTAAAGCCAACTTCCACATGAAGTTTGCGGATGGCCGACATGTAGACATGAACAGATCGGGGCTGAAAAGTTCTGAACAACTCGGCAGCAAAATAACACATAAAGTAAAAAGTCATCACCTGGCAATGGATTCCAGTTATGCCCTTGACAGAACTGGAAGTAACGGGTATCGGCGGAAAAATATTTCCGGCTGGTGCCAGTGCCGCTAGCTGCAGCACGGAGTCCGGCAACTGAGAGTTGGCAAGACTGGCTGATCTGGCTCAGCTGCTGCTTCCGGAGCCCTCGATGGTTCAAACACCATCGGCGCAGGCCACGTTTTTCGGCACCGACGATTTGTTCGTCCACCAAAAGTCGAAACAAATGTTTCTCACTTGAACACTCCGTAGAGCTGCCGCTGTTGTGCCGAGGGCCATTGGCGCATGGTGTGTATACTCCAAATCTACATGTATGATGATGGGTCACTGCTGACGTTTCTGCTCTTGGACAGTGCAACGCCGCATGAAGATATGTTGTGGCTCCACAATCGCTGAGAACGCTAGTGTGCGTCCATGGAATACTAAAACACAATAGGTGCGGCGCAGCTAACACCCACTTGGATGAATCGGAGTGGTGGCGAGTGCATTCTCTTTCCTCGGTGAACACTGCTGGTCACCCTGTTTGATGATCCACCAAACACCATCGGTGCAGGCCGCGTTTTTTCGGAACCAGCCATTTATTCGTCCACCAACAATAGAAATTAATGTTTCTCACTTGAACACTCTGCATGATCTGTAGAGCTGTCGCTGTCGTGACAAGGCCGTGTATACTCCAAGTCTACATGTAGGATGAAGAGTAACAGTTACTGCTGATAATTAAGTTTGCGCTCGTGGACAATACAACGCTGTGTGAAGTAAATTGTGGCTCCACAATCGCTCTGAATGCTAATGTGTGTCCATGGAATACTAAAACACAATAGGCGCGGTGCAGCTAACGCCCAACGTGGATGAAACGGACAACAGCAGCGACTAGTCTAGAGCGTTCTCCTTCCTCGGTGAACACTGCTACAAGACATTATGCTTGATGATTCACCAAACACCATCGTTGGGGGCCAAGTTTTCCGGCGCCAGCGAGTTGTTCGTCCACCAACTAAATTTGATGAGTCTTTCTTCAACACTTCGTAGAGCAGCCGCGCAAGGCCTTTCCTTCGCGTTAGGGTAGCGATCCTTCCTAGATGATATCGCTATTCATTGTTACTTTTTACTACAATGAGTAGTGTTTCTCCGAAAATAAAGTCAGCTGCCTGGGCATTGATTAGGCATTAGTACTGCCTAGACCTAGCGCCTGGACTTGGGAAAAAAATTGATTTTGCAAGTCTTCAATCATGTTTCCATGTACGCGCTATCCAGCCATGTGGCGTGAACAGATTGCTTGACGTGAAAGGTAGCGCGAGTACGAGTCGTACGCGCTCGCGGTCCGCGGACGTGTCAGTGACACGTGAAACGAAAAGATTTTTTTGGCGGGTAGTCGGCAAAAATTAAGTGACGGTCCCTTTAGTCCTTCGCGTATGGAATAGATCGATGACTGTATTATTAATTTTATATTCACGCCATATGCCATATGCTGAGCATGGTGCAGTAAATCAGTACATGTACTAGGACTGTAGGTAAACTACATTTTTGTAGTGGATTGTTCTCCGGTCCGAGACCCAAGAGGACCAGCAATACTGAATAGTGTCATGGGTCTCTTGGTAATCATAATAATTACCGGTATGTGCAATGAGCCGGAGACATTTCGGAATTTTCCATGATTTCGGTACGAGTTCGAGTGCTCGTACCATTATTATTAGATTTTGCTTTGCTTGTATGTACGTATTAGTACTATAGTAGATCTACGAGGCTACGAGGCTACGATCCTACGAGCCGGGAAAAAAAGCCTGGCGCATGGCGATGACTAATCGCTGGCTGCGATGACATCATTACCAACATGTTATTTTCAAATTCTTCTCCGATATTTGTTGCATGATTTCTTTTTCAAGGCCGGCTGAAGACCTTTCTTGCTCTGCATACTGTCTATTCTCTCATTTCCCAAAGCCCTTTCAGCGGCGACAATTGTCTTCGTTGCGCTACTGAATATCTGGCGATTCGGATTGGTATCGCAATAGTCCTTTTATTATTTCAACTTCTAGTGTTGGCAATTCAGAATGCAAAAGAAAGTTTGAATGTGAGTGCACTGACCGCGATCCTAATAATAGCACAAAGAGCTATTGTGCTGCGCCTGGCTACACCAGGAGCACCATGGATCCAAGAGGAGCAGGGCAGCTGTTCAATGAAGCGTTAGGTCAGGCACGGTATGCCTCTGAGTACGACAAATCTGGACAAGTTGATGCTGCTGTCCATTACTATCGCGAGGCGATTAGCACCTTCCAGAGAGCATTTGCTATGGACAAGAACCTGCGCACGGACGTGAATAAACAGGCCTACTGCAAGCTTGCGCAAAGCCGACTGGACGTGCTGGCACCGCCGCCACCGCCGCCATATTCCTCGTTGGGTGAGCCAATGCTACTAGTACTTCAAGGGGTCACAGTGTGCTCGTGCAAGCGAGCGTGCATGTGTTTGGAGGGGGAATAGAATGGATGATACACACTACAGTGGGACTCACGTTTGCACTTTGCAGAGGTACACAAGCAGCAGGCAACATACCACCTACTGGCGAGGCGGTTTTCTGTAGACGTATTTTGTGAACTGGCGACGTGTGGAGTTTAACCTGTCCGCATTGATCACCACATGCTGGATCGAAAACCGGTCTTCATGCTGTATCTTTGAAGTAGATAATCAAGCGAGGCACAGAAGGCTTGATGGCTTTGATCTGTCTTCAAGCCCAACTGTACCTCGCTTGAATATGCTGGACATGATCCTCCCACACAAGTTTGATTGTGAATCGCTTTATTTTGTGGGTGATTTCGAGTGCGGAGACAATTAATATTTGTGCCTACCGTGTCGGTCGCTGGTGATTTAGGGTTTTAGAGCAGCCTGTAGTCTTAAGCCAAAAAGGTAGCCGGAAACTAAATCAGATTTTCAAATTGGCCCGAAATGTTTGGGATGCGAAGTATGCAGTGTCTTCAGTGTGTCATGTAGAGATGAAATGGCCGAAAAAGTAGCTGGTCACCATCAGTATTGTGGAGTAATGAGCACTCCAAAATAGGACATTTTGGGGGTTTTGCTCAAATTACCGCTCCAAATATTTTGCTCAAAAATGGGCCATTATGGGAAATTGGCCTGAATTTTTTCACTTATTTTTTTACAAATCAACTCTACCAAGTGTAAGATACTAGTAAAACCAAGAAAAGTGACTGTTCACCACAAAAAGGGTTTGCTTTCGTCGTTCATAAGTTTCACACAAAGCGTACCGGAAAACAAGAGCCGTGGACGATCGACCTGTTTCGTGAGAAATTTCTGAAGATTGGCAGGAGCCTAGTCATGTGTTCGACCTGTCGGCGTGACTGGATGATAATGGATCATTCTCTGTTGTTGTTGTTGTTGTTGTTGTTGTTGTTGTTGTTGTTGTTGTTGTTGTTGTTGTTGTTGTTGTTGTTGTTGTTGTTGTTGTTGTTGTTGTTGTTGTTGTTGTTGTTGTTGTTTTGCCGTGCATGCAGGTCAGACCAATCCACAGGCTGGTGGTGCTGCCGCTTCTGCACAGAAGGTGAGAACTGCATTTTGCAAGTTTTCCTGTAAGAAGAAGGATTGGCTGGAAAGTGCAGCAATGGTGTGGTGGTCAGTGTGGGGGTCAGTGTGGTGGTCAGTGTGGGCCCGGTCAGTGTGGGCCCGGTCAGGCTAACAACTACCGTACCGTATTTTCCGGGGTATAAGTAGGGATCTCATCGCGTGCAGTGCGCAGGGTGTTTGCGCATACATTGCGTCATCGAGTTTTGAGTGCAGCTCGCGGACACAGCAGAAAAATGGCGACGGTCGATTTTCGACACTAGGGGACGCGGTGGACACTAGCGGAATCGTCATCTTCATCGTCGTTCGAACATACTTTGTAATTCCCGCCGAAGGACAGCGTGGCCAAGGCGATATTGCCCCGGTCGATTTTCCTATAATTTTCCATGCGGCAAGAACCCACTTCAGAGAGGATTCAGTCAAAAATTCAGACGTTTTCTCCGGTTAGATTGTCCTAACTTCGATTTTCAGTGCATCAGCCATCGCGAACATCGCCGCCATTATCACTCAGAGAGAAGACATCGCGCTCAGTAGAAGAGGTGTTCACGCTGCGTCCAAGAGTGAAAGATTGTGCTCTTTGACCCTCCATAGTTCCTCTGAGAGAGTGTCTGGGAGATAGGTAGCTTGGAAATGGCCGTAGAACGTGCTTTCCTGGACGCAATATTCAGCCATTTCTACTGTCTTCTTCAACTTGATTTATTTCGAAAAAAATGTTCTTTTCCACGATTTCTGCACTGGACGCGTTTGGGATCGAAAATCTCACCTGCGCAGACTGGCTGCGCAGTTCACGCGCTGAGATCCCTAGTATAAGCCGCACCGGGGTATAAGCCGCACCCCCCCTTTTTGAGGCGAAATATTGACTAAAAGTTGGTATTCGGAGTATAAGCCGCACCCACAAACCAAGATTTTTCACACTCATTGACAAATGGCCTTTCTACAAATTTATTATGGTTATGGAGCTAAATACCATGTTAGATCAGATTATGAAGTGTTAGTGCACCACAGGTTGCTGCAGAGATGTTGGTGTATTGCTGTGTTGACTACAGATCACTCCATATCATCTGCACTATCTTCAGTCTCGCTGCCATTGATGTTGATCAGCAACACAGGCGCGAAGCTGAGTCGAATGACATGTCACATGACGTCAGCATGCATACTGATGTATGCTAAGCATTCATTCGCGCAAGCATATTCGGTGTATAAGCCGCAGGGGCGATTTTGGTCCGATTTTTAGCGAAAAAAGTGCGGCTTATACCCCGGAAAATACGGTATTTCCCCGTAAGTTAGTACGTACTAACTTTCGAACTTAGCAGCCACATGAGTACTAACTTTCGGGGGTGATACTATCTTTCGGGGAGTACTTTTTTATCGGGGGTAAATGACACGCAGTGGGAAGCCTGCGCAGCTCTAGTGTCCGTGCATATGATGTATGTACTGTACGGTGTCTGTACATGTAGGACGGGTACGAACTTACGATCTTTCGGGGGGAACTGTCTTTCGGGGTGATAACCTCGGCAGTGGAAAGTGTATTTTTATAGGGGGTACTAAGTCATTGGGGAGAACTAACTTACAGGGAAATACGGTAATACTGTACTCGCATAAGAAAGGGAGTGACGTGTGCCCCAACCTGGTGCTGGCTTTTGCTGCCTGTTCGAAAAGAAGAGCCATCCGGTGCCCAGGATTATGGCTTGTTCGTGACTCTGCCCAAGCAGTTGTTGTTGTGGCTGTTTCTCGCCTGGCGAGTTCTTGTGATCAGTGGCTATTTCTGAGTAAGAGAGCTAGTCATCTTGAAAGCGACACTCGAGGGCAACACCTGAGAGTAACGCCACTGGAAGATTGGCGTACAGCATAAGTCGTGGGAATTTCCGCCAGCGTGCCCGCACTGCAGCTTGTTGTTGCTCCGTGGGTTTGAATTCCTTGCCTGCGTGGCCTTCAACCCTCTGTTTGTACAGTTGCGCTCAGTGAAATCCGACCCAAACGTGCATTTTTGGCACCCTCAACCTGCACGACCCTTGACGCCCTAGAAGTGGTACAAAATGCAGTGATGAACTGGAACTGGAACTGAACTGGAACTGGTCCAGCGCGCCAGTTTTGCACTTTGGGTCAGTTTTTCACTGAGCGCAACTGCCACGGTACATGTACCGATGCTCACAGATTATTCTCTCCCGTGTCCTTTGTGTGCGTGTGTGGCGCTTTCCCTTCCTATCTACCTTAGAGTCCACTACACACGGAGGCTGAGACTCACTTGCTGAAGGCAATGGGCTTTGATGAGAAGAACCAGTTGCAGCAAGCCAAAACGTCCTACGAAGCAGCCATTCAGAAGTACCTGGAAGGTGTAAGTCTAGATGTCCGTGCAGCAGCATCTTCCCATCTCATCATTGAGAAGTCACTTGGCCACTGTCAACTCACGTATTAGTAGTGTGTTTTCATACAACACACTCATCCCATCTCAGAGTTCTAGGCCAGGATAAAATTCTAGGGGAGACAAAACAGTTCACTCATTTTTTCCATGTTCCACTATTGCCTTGTCACAAAAATTTAAAAAAACGTACGGATGCACATAGTGCCCGGATCGATCTACCGTAAAGTCGCGGGTAAAAGCCGGGTTTGCATACAAGCACATCGCGGATAGAAGCCTGAAAATCAAGCGGGTCAAATGCATATCAGTGGATATGTCCTCTACCAACAAGAACTCGTTTCGTTTCGTAAGCCTGTCGCGCGTAGAAGCCTGGCTTCTATGCAAGCGCGGATCGGGTAGGTCAAGTGTGCATGCACTATGTACGGTGCATAGTAAAACTGCCGCCATACCGGTAGTCAGTGGTAGATCTACGCGTATCAATGTGCATACAAGCCTGGCAAAAAAATCAGTGGTGCATATAAGCATGGTTTGCATACAAGCCTGGTTTGCATTAAATCCTGATGCAGAAAGCGGCTTATATGCTTAGAAGCCCGGCTTTTATCCGCGACTTTACCGTATTTGTGGTTGCATTTTCGCTGTGTGAACTGAAAACACGCAAAAGTCAAAAAATGAGTAGGGTGGGGGGGGGGGGGGGGAGGAGAGGCTGTGTCCCCTACCCCCCCCCCCCCCCCCCCCGTGGCTTGAACCCTGCCATCCAGTGACATCCTGTTGTGGGCTTATGTATGGTCTATTCGTGTATCAGTTAGGTGTCGCAGAAGCAAAACTCCACAATATGACTTGAACATAATATTGTTCCTCTTGTCTATTGCCACACGTATGAACTGAACTGGCAATACAGTCGAGGAAGACAACTTCGGAGGAAGAGAAAGCCAAGATGATGAAGCGGGCGCAGGACTGCCTGGATAGGTAGGCCATGTGTACGTGTGTGTGTGTGTGTGTGTGCGTGCGCGCGCGCGTGTGTGTATGTGTGTGTGTGTGTGTGTGTGCTTCAAACAGCTGTGTGGTGGATACCAGGCTAAAAATAGTGGCGGTCAATTCATCAGCCTTGCAAGCTGTTGAATGGTGTAATCCCAGCACAAGTTGCTATGTCTAACATAGCTGTTCGCTATCATCGCTTCCGCGATGGGCATGTCTGAGGTCTGAGGTGTGTGCACATGTCTGTGTGTGTGTGTTGTGCTTTATAAGTCAATGTATGGATGTTTTTCTTTCTTGAATTGCAGTTCAGAGATTATTTTAAGGAGTTCTGAAGTATTTTCCAAAATAAATTTGCTGCAGTGAAGTCTGCTCACCCTGAAATAGGTGAATGTAGTCAATGTACGCTTTGAAAAGCAGGATAGATACAGCGCGTGCCATTTTTCCCCTGCGCATCCTTTATCCAGATCAGCAATAGCAGAGTTCCCATGTGCCAAGTAATGGACCCCGCACCAGCAGAAAATAAGCTACATGTACTTTGAGATTGTACGTGATATGAAGTTCTGGCTATTCTGCCATCACAAGCCCAATACATGTAGTACCTGTATAGGCTAAAATTGTTTACTTTTGGGAGTTGTATAGGCTCCAAAGTACCCTTGATGCTACCAGTGCACTCAATCTGCGGCCAGAACTGTTTCGTCCTTTGTGGACTCATCAGCGCAGCACAGAGAAAACGAGGCCGAACCTGATAGCAATGGAAAATAAAATTTCCAAAGCCAGATTGAAACCAGGCCCGAACGTACCTTGCCAGAGTGCTCAAACTGACAAGTCACTAATGCATGTAGATTTGTACAGACGCGGCATTGTAGTAATGAATGAACATGCTTCGACGTGTAGCGGTACTAAAGTTTATAGAGAGCCGCGGTGTTAGCAAACGGCACAGCATTACATCTGGGAGTGACTGTAGTTGCCAAGGCCATGTTGGGGCTGTGTAATGAGTGCGAGCTTAGTAGTGCCATCTGCGTCTCCACATCACATGTGCTTGATTCTGGTTTTGTCCATGGCTATTCGCATGTATTCAAACTTTTAAAGGTATTGCATTTTCCTTGATCAGTATTGTGCGTTTGTGACTTGCTGAATGTCTTGTCGTCCGTTGTTTGCGTATACTGCTTTGCACATTTGAGCATCGGGCACACTTTGCTTGGAGCTGCCTCGACCAGTCCTGTTTGTGTCTTGCTTGTCACATGTCCAGGGCAGAGAAGCTGAGTAAACTGATCTCTGAATCCAGCAAGCCGGTGGCTGATGCCCGCAGCAAGGGTTCAAGCACAAGCCACATTCCCGTTGATTCCGGGAGCTCTGGTTTGGGCAGGCACTCCCCTAGTGCACCACACGCCGCGACTGGTCGGTCTATCTCGCCAGCACGGAACACAGGTGCATCGCCTCCTGCTACAGCACCGGTCGACTCGGCGCCGCGCCTGACGCCGCAGGAGATCCTGTTACTGAAGTGAGTATGTGTGTGTGTGTGTGTGCATGTGCGTGTGTGTGTGTGTGTGTGTGTGTGTGTGTGTGCATGTGCATGTGTGTGTGTGTGTGTTTGTGTGTGTGTGTGTATGTGTGTATGTGTGTATGTGGGGGTGCGTGTGTGTGTGTGTGCCCACATGTGCGTGTGTGTATGTGTATGTATGCCCTCACGAGCGCAAGCATGTGTGTGTATGTGTGTGTGTGTGTGTGTGTGTGTGTGTGTGTGTGTGTGTGTGTGTGTGTTTCCATTATATTTTGGTCCTTTTTTGGATAAGGATTTTGTTGGTGGAAGACAACTTAACGTAGAAGCTACGACGAACTTGGACATTTGAAATTTTGAAACACTCCTAACAACCTGTACCCAAGAACTAATTTCCTCGCTATGGGGTATGGTATTGTGAATGTGGACCAAGAGCGCAATGTGGAGTAGAGTGTTTCAGAGGACAACTTACCACAGCTAACACCAACTTGTGATAGAAGCGACTGGGAAATCCGACGAGGTTTTTTCCTATGACATGTAATATCGGCTTCAATATCTGTAGAGTGGTGATATCAGCAAGTGTTTAATATCTGTACAGTGGTGATATCAGCAAGTGTTTATTGTCTGTACAGTGGTGATATCAGCAAATGAGCAAGCAGAGTCATTATCTCCGGCTATCTAGGCGGTCAAAGCACTAACAAATTGACACCAAAGAGAGCGTGAGTGGTGCCAGCACGAGGCCGGGGTGCCTGCCTTTGGCTGAAACAAGAAGTAACGTGATACAATAATTGGGACTGCAGTGCAAGGTCAAAGATAGTCACAACGTTTGCATAATACTTCTTTTGCACGCGCAGTTCAGGCCTCGGCCTAGCAATGTGCACAGCCCCCAGCACAGGCAGGCGAGAGTTGTTACGCACCAGTGCTTACATATTGAAGTGTAAATATAGGTGTAGATGTCATGTTCGCATACTGTACGCAGGCAAGCTGGTGACAAATTCAGATGGTGGGTTATTGCTGATGCCTGTTCATTGTCACTGTCACCATTATCAGGTGGTGCATTCGCTCTTATGATGACCCGCATAGCCTGTCAGCTAAAATACTTAAAAATTTAAAGTACTTGAAATAGTCACCAGATTACCTGCGTACAGTTTGCCAGCATATCATCCATTCACTCTTCAAAATGAATGTGTGGGACACACAACAAATCTCACCAGTATGTGCTAGACGTTGTTTACATTGCTAAGTTGGAACCTGATCCGCGCGTGCAAAAGAAGTTTCTGCGGAAGTTGCAACTATGTTTTGGCCTTGTACCGTGTTCCTCACGTGGATGTGCGGACTCTACTTTTCACTTTTGCTGCGGTCCCAATTGTTATGATGTTTTTCTGTGTACGTCTTGTTTCAATGACTAGATCGCGCTGTAACTGGCACCACTTACGCTCTCTTAGGTGTCAATTTGTTAGTGTTCTGACCGCCTAGATAGCTGGAGATAATGACTCTGCTTGCTCACTTGCTGATATTACCATTGTACCGGTTTTGAAGAATCATGGTGTACAAGTCCTCATCGGATTTCCCAGTAGCTTCTGTGTTTCGTATGCATTGTGGTTTAGTTATGTTGGTCACAGACAAGATGTTATGTATGTAGCCTTGGTTTCTCTGTTAGTGACCTGCCTGCACTTGTGCTCTGTGTGCGCGTATGTGTGTGTGTGTGTGTGTGTGTGTGTGTGCGCGCGCGCGCGTGTGTGCGTGTATGAATGAAGGAACTCATCTTACATCAACAACCATTGCTATTTGCCATGGATAGATCAGGATGTTAAGTCCAAGTTCCACTTTCTTGAGGCCTACACGTAAGACCTGCACAGCACCATACTCTAATGTGCCTTTAGATAGGTTTCAGAGCATCAAGTACACCTACGCATATACATGTCACAGAATACAGCACTCCAGCATATTCAGATTGTGTAAAATTTTAATCATGAAAGGCTTTGGAATATTTGATCTGTTTGTGACTTTTCGTCCAAGTAGTGGGAGGACCAAATATTGGGAGTCGGACCAAAAGACATGTCTCTCCTCCTCTCCCCCCCCCCCCCCCCCCCCCCCCAGCATTTTGCAATCGAGTGATACGCAAGTACGCCAGGAGCATGCCGTGCCAGCACGGCTACAGTATTGACCGTACCAGTTTTTGCCCCAGGTATCCATTAATTAATAGGAGATGCTATTGCTGTTTGCTCCAAATTGTCAGGCAAGTGTCGCGCTGGGGGTGCTTGAGATGATTGACCGTACCACCCTGGAATACCTCCTGACAACCCTGTAATAATTGCGGAGGAGCCCAGCAAGCAAGCCACGTGTGCCTTTCAGGGAGATGTAGATTGGTGTGTAGCGAAAGTGTTCACTGTGCCCTATGGCGTTGTTTGTTATTCCCTGTGTGCAGTGACTCTGATGGTGTACTGGCCTTGTCGCCAAAGCAGAAGGAGCGAATCGCAAGGTTTGCCAGGTAAGATCCGTTGGTTTATTGACGCAGTTCAGAGTGAATGCATTGCAGGTGAGCCACGTGCTAATAACTCAAGTTATGCCAGTTTTGCTGTAGCGCTTTGCACGTTGTTTTCACACGGTTCAATATTTTATGTCGCATCAACATTGTAATGTTTACATGATTACACTTTGTTGCCTGGTGAATGAAGCATGGATACGTGCGTGCCCTGTCTCTGTGCTTGCTGTACACCTACAGACCAGTTGAGATTTGTGATGATCCGAAAATCATTCGCCTGATCTCTCATCAGAGCATCAAACAGGTTAGAGCATGGCGATGCCTACAATTGTAGCACAGCATACTACACACCCTACATGACTGTGTACAGCACACGTTCAGTCGTAATTACGGAGGATTAGCAAGACGAAATTCGCGTTCGCGTTCACACACATTTTTCAGTTCGCGAACTGGATTGCGAACTTTCGCATTTTTCGTTCGGAAAAGTAGTCGGAACACGAATCGCGGATTCGTGTCAGGGCAGTCATAAATTTACCACGCTGTGCTGTCTGTGCACAATGTCCGTCGTGTCAACGTCATGCGCATGTGCGAATTCTGTTTGCTAATCCTTCTCATAACGCGAATTCCGTCACTGAGTTCGACTTTCTTTGGAGAGCGAACGCGAATGCGAATTTCGTCTTGCTAATCCTCCGTAGTATCTCCATGCATGTACATGTATGCTGGGATTGTTACTGGTATACGAGACTCGAGTCGGTTCCCCGAGCAAGATCGTTTCTTCGGGGTTAAAATGTTATTTTCAAGAAAATTTTTAGTGTGGCGTAATCAATAAGACTGATTGTTTGCTGTTGGCTTGTTTCAGACCTTGGTTTCGGACTGCTCCTTTGTGGCATCACTGGCAGTGTGTGCGGTGTACGAGTTCCGCTTCAAGAAGCGGGTCATCACAAGGTATAGGCTTCCACGCACAGCACCGATGTCTTGCAGACCTGTACTCCGGAAAACTAGTTCTCTCTCTCTCTCTCTCTCTCTCTCTCTATCTATCTATCTATCTCTCTATCTATCTATCTATCTAGCTCTCTCTCCCTCCCTCCCTCCCTCCCTCCCTCCCTCCCTCCCTCCCTCCCTCCCTCCCTCCCTCCCTCCCTCCCTCCCTCCCTCCCTCCCTCCCTCCCTCCCTCCCTCCCTCCCTCTCTCTCTCTCTCTCTCTCTCTCTCTCTCTCTCTCTCTCTCTCTCTCTCTCTCTCTCTCTCTCTCTCTCTCTCTCTCTCTCTCTCTCTCTCTCTCTGTCTCTCTCTGTCTCTCTCTCTCTCTGTCTCTCTCTCTCTCTCTCTGTCTCTCTCTCTCTGTCTCTCTGTCTCTCTCTCTGTCTCTCTCTCTCTGTCTCTCTCTCTCTCTCTCCCTCTCTCTCTCTGTCTCTCTCTCTCTGTCTCTCTCTGTCTCTCTCTCTCTCTCTCTCTCTCTCTCTCTCTCTCTCTCTCTCTCTCTCTCTCTCTCTCTCTCTCTCTCTCTCTCTCTCTCTCTCTCTCTCTCTCTCGCGCGCGCGCGCGCGCGCACGCGTGCGTGCGCATTCCAACTTTCAAACTTCTGTTGATGTATCTCCACGAATTCACTGACTCCACCATCGAAACGTGTACTAGTGGTGCCGTATAGCTAGTTAGTGCAGTACTGTAGGAGCGTTAAGATCTCGTGAGGTGAACTAAGCCGCCCGGGTGGCGGGCCACTCTTGTGGTATTGCAAAAAGACTAGAACATGCCACTTCTGTGTGTGTGCGTGTGTGTGTGTGTGTGTGTGCGTGTGCATGTGTGCGTGTGCGTGCGTGTGTGTCATTACTTATCCTTAGCTGCATATACCCGCAGAAGAGAGATGGCACTCCGATTTACAATGAGAGCGGCAAGTATATCATCAAGCTGCGACTCAATGGAATTCCTCGCAAGGTGAGCCGCTGACCAAGCCCAGCGTGCATCTCCATTTTTAAATGGAGATGCAAATATCTTTTCATATTGTTTGGTAGTATGGCACTGTCTTGTATGCTTCTATCTCTGCCCCTCCCCCCCCCCCCCCCCCCCTCTCCCTCTCTCCCCATCTCCCTCATGTTCACACATGCATGTACATCTCCATAGTAACACTGATATGCATGTACAGGAAATACCTGACTGTTGCTCAGATCTTAGCTCACCTTGTGACCACGCTCGTGTGTCCCAACGTCCATGCATGTATGCGCACTTTGCATGCAGATTATAGTACTACATGTATGGCATGGCGATGAATGAGACCATGAACATGACCATGCAATATATGACCATACTATAGTATATACGCATGCGTACATTGCCTACACCACCGTCACCACCGCTGCACTATGTGGCCGACCACACACATACACACACACAGACTTCCCACAGCAGCAACAAGATGTTCCTTTGGAGTACAGTCAGACCTCGCTTATCCGGTCCTCTTGTATCCGGATCCCTCGCCATCCGGAAGAAAATCGTTGGTTACCGCTTTACAGCATATGTCATGCATACATACAGTATGTGTGTTCGATTATCCGGTTCCCTCGCCTATCCGGATATTATTGTGGAAAACGGATGTGTTCGGTTAAGCGAGGTCTGACTGTACTGGAATATTATTTGGTCGGTCACAGAGCGCAACGGTGGTGGTGTTGTCAATGTAGTAAAGTGAATGTACGCAGAATTTTCAACGGCCGAATATTGCTGCTTACCTTCTTCCATGTATATATACGCTTGTGATGTGTTGTTGTTTGTCTGACAGATTGAGATAGATGATCGGTTGCCGGTGGATAAACATGGCCGCCTGCTCTGCTCCCACTCAACACAGTCTGATGAACTGTGGGTCAGTCTGATGGAGAAGGCTTACATGAAGGTAAGATTCGGAGGACCTTACCGGTATATGTTTTTGCAAGTCACATGTGTCATAAAGTAATCAAGCAGCGTGCTCCACTGCTCGAAGAGTGCTCAATACCCATATATGGCAAAGCCTTCCACACGCAAGAGAGGAGAGAGAGAGAGGAGAGAGAGAGAGAGAGGGGGGGGGGGGGGGGGGGGGCTGTGATGCAACTCCGAGCTTCACGTAGTCACGAGCATCAGGCAACTGGTCTTGTGTGTCATAAAGTATTCATTCTTAGTATCATAAAGGTGCATCATATACTATTTCACGTGTGCCTTTTCCTTTGTTATTATTGTTGTCAGGTGATGGGTGGTTATGACTTTCCGGGTTCCAATTCGGTGAGTGTGCACCTCCATTTCAACTACGGCTGCTGCTGCTACCATCGGTATTGTGGCTATGTACCTTTGTCTGTCTCCGTTTGCTGCATCTGTGTTACCGTTTTTCCACGAATAGTAGGCCGGTCTACTATTTTTTCAACCTCGTCCTAACCCAGCCTTATAATCGAGGACGGTCTTTTATTCTTTCAACCCAGTTTGACCCCGGTCTTCTATTTTTCGCCACACAGTTTTACCCCATTCTTCCATTTTCTTCTACACAGTTTGCGCACGGTCTTCTACTTTTACCCACAGTTTGAGCACGGTCTTCTATTTTTAACACAAGTTTGAGACTCATTTAGTAGGCCCGGTCTTCTAATCGGAGACGGTCTTTTATTTTTCAATCGCCCCTGCCCCGGCCATGTATACGAGGAAGGTGTTGTATACGAGGACGGTGTTGTATACGAGGACGGCCTTTTATTTGCGGAAATACGGTATCTTGTGAGCTACAACTCAATGTAGTATGGCTGGCGCATGGCCTGTTAGTGTCCGAGTCGTGCTTCTACGACCTGTGCTGTTGTGGAATTCTACTGACCAATGCTCAAGCTGTCTTGTTCGACCTTCAACATCAAAGTTCAAGGTCCAGGGTTTCTGCCCTGATCCTTTAAGAATAATTCCCACCCGGTCAGAAATGAAATCACACCAAGCAGCTGTACTATTGGGGGGGGGGGGGCTCGGCATCAGCACAGTATACATGTGTCCGTTTTATTCTGACTTTACACTGGCCTCCTTATAACTACCCTCTCCCGTTCGCCCCACCCGTTCGCCTGCAACTATTCACCCCCCCCCCCCCCACACACACACACACGCACACTTGCACTAGTAACACATCGTCTTGCTGTTCCTTGCTTCAGAATAATGACCTGCACGCTCTGACTGGCTGGATACCAGAGCGTATTGGTATGCACAACAAGCACGAAGAGTTTGATTCGGACAAAGTCTACGATCGTCTGAGAGCCGGCCTGCATCGAGGTTGGTACTGTAGAGGTCAAACATTTTTAGCAAACAGAAAACAAGTCTTTGCAGATGGATGGTCTTTCTACAGAGGATGTGCTGTATCATCTGGTGTGCAGGCTGAAAATGGCAGTCTCTAAAGCCAGGCTGTGCGATAGGGCTTGATAGTGAAGACATCACAAGTCAACAAATGGCGACAAATAACGACTTTTTGATCCACTCTGCACGTCGTGAACTATAGTATGTGGTGGTGAGTAGGCGCCTCGTGTCGCATGCAGGTGTGCATGGCCGTGAACCAGGAGTGGGTCCCCGACCGGGAGTACTCAGTCCAGTCACTACGGTATCGGTAGATGCGTCACCTTGCTGTGAAGGAAACCCGCCCTTGCGTGTATGGATCCGTATAGAAACTGGGTCCAAGTGGATCCGAAAGTCAGCGTTGTCATGACTCCGGGCTGGCTGCGACGTAGCACTTTCAAGCTCTATTGCAGTGGCTTCAACACACCCAGTCATAGTGCTGTGTCATACATGTAGCTAAGTTGGGATTTAGGCCCATACAGTCCTACCGCAGCTACCTGAACCCCGGTACTAGTACTCTTTATTCACATTTGTACACATTGCAGCAGATACCCACATTGGGTCGCGGGAGAATACACCGAATACACCGAATGCGTAAACTCTGAGGGGAGATTTAGAGATTTCGCCTTCACTTTGGAGTTCGCAGAGTGCACAGCTTTTGACGACAACATTTGTGTAGCCAAACAGAATATGCATGGTCGGGAATTCTGTGAAGGACAGAATTGTGTGTACCGTATTTTCGGCAATACAGGCTGAGGCGCTTAGTAATAGTTTGCGAGCCCTGAAATTTCACCCAATTTGAAATAATCCACACCAAAAAAACCCTGAGATGATGTGGCGCTTATTTCAGACAGGCGGTAATAAAAGACTGGCGCTAATTTCCGAGAATACTGGAATCGAGAGTTTTCCATTGTGGTGTGCTGCTTTGTTCTCTGCTTGAACACTGCTGTAGGCCAGTACCTGATCATATGTGCTGCATTGTCCTGTACTTGATCACCTGCTGTAGGCCAATACCTAATCATATGTGCTGCATTGTCCTGTACTTGATCACCTGCTGTAGGCCAATACCTAATCATATGTGCTGCATTGTCCTGTACTTGATCACCTGCTGTAGGCCAATACCTAATCATATGTGCTGCATTGTCCTGTACTTGATCACCTGCTGTAGGCCAATACCTAATCATATGTGCTGCATTGTCCTGTACTTGATCACCTGCTGTAGGCCAGTACCTAATCATATGTGCTGCATTGTCCTGTACTTGATCACCTGCTGTAGGCCAGTGCCTGATCACGGTGGCCACACCGCCCATGTCCAAGGCGAACGCTGACCGTGCTGGCTTGGTGGAGACGCACGCCTACGCCATTCTGGACATGCAGCACGTCGGGGTAGGTGGTGACGGCTGAACAAACTGCCTGCCGCTGAGTTTGCAGTGTGCGTGTGTGTGGGGGGGGGGGGGTGCGTGCGTGCGTGTGTGTGTTGCGACAGCCTTGAATTGCTTGAGCTTGCATGCTATGTATAGCCACTCATGCATTGCATGGGTGCATGGTACACGTACCGCCACTCATGCACTGGTACACGCATCGCCACTCATGCACTGGTACACGCATCGCCACTCATGCACTGGTACACGCATCGCCACTCATGCACTGGTACACGCATCGCCACTCATGCACTGGTACACGCATCGCCACTCATGCACTGGTACACGCATCGCCACTCATGCATTGGTACACGCATCGCCACTCATGCACTGGTACACGCATCGCCACTCATGCACTGGTACACGCATCGCCACTCATGCACTGGTACACGCATCGCCACTCATGCATTGCATGGGTGAATAGTAGTACACTTCACGTAGTGCACCGCACCACCAGATGTGCTCTATTCAGTCTATTGCCATGCGTGTATAAACTGACGACAACGACGACAACGAAATAAGCCGAGCTCTCAGCCCCATAACTCAGTGCTGTCTTGGCCTAGTGTGGGAATAGAAATACTGTGCTTCCCGTTGCGCAAGTCAGCTTGCTGCTATTCTGCCTGCATCTGGCGAGGTTTGAGTGGAGAGCCGTGCAACGGTCACCCACCACCTTGGCGGCGGCACAATGGGCAATGTGTTGTATTTAGGGCTTGTATTAATGTGGTGCCAAGTATTCCATTCATTGCACCTGTACCGGGATACTGCTTTTGGTGTGGGTAAGACACTCCCATCGGGCACACTCTACGGCTGATATGAGCCAGCTGAATATTTTCCAGTAATAGTGCTTTCGGTATGGGTCCCGTGCGGATATGCCAGGGTTGGGTAAGGGACGACTATGTACACCACCCTCGTGCACAAACGGTTAGAGAAGGCACGAGGTCCGATAGCATGCAAGAAGGGACCAGCAGTAAATTATTACTTTAGACCTGCTCTGCATGGATGGTCTACTGGTGTTGATTTCACAGGTGCGTTGCAACAATGATCTACTTCACTGGTTCATTGGCAATAGGAACACGTTGGTAGACAGGTTCTGCTGTTTGAATTTCGGAATATTTTTATGCCGAAAATAACTTTCGACTCGGCTGATTCTTTCCCTTCAACTTTCCTGGAAGTTATACTGCTCCACCGAGTCTTGAACCCAGTAGTTGAAAACTGTTCCGAAATTCGAAGGAAGTTCAACTGCTCCGCCGAGTCTTGAACCCAGTAGTTGAAAACTGTTCCGAAATTCGAAATGCAGAACCTCTCTGTATCCAAGTTACTTCTTTAGAGTATGCATGCAGGAAAAATGTTTGACTTGAAAAGTGGCAGTACTACAGTCCATTTCAAAACTATAGACGCGTACCTAGGCAAAAACCGTTATGCCAGCATCTTTACAACATAAAATCTGTGATCACTTTGTGCATAAATTTTTCCAAATTGGACGTCTGTTATCCAATCGTTTAGAAACTATATGAGAGTAATTGTGGAGCGGACCTGAGCAATATTCCGAAAACTATTCTCAAAAAGCTCCGGCCAAATTTGAAATATTTCAAAAACCCTACGCGTCTATAGTTTGAAATGGACTGTAGGCAAGTGTATGCCTTCTTGGCAAAAGTACTACTGTATCATGTACATAAATTTACTCTGTGTGTGTGTGTGTGTGTGTGTGTGTGTGTGTGTGTGTGTATGTGTGTGTGTGTGTGTGCGCACGCACGCGTGCGCTTGTGTGCGTGTGTGTGTATACAGGTATGGTATATTATAATGTGTTTGTGTGTGTGTGCACGCGTGTGTGTGTGTGTGTGTGTGTATGTGTGTATGGGCATGCATGCGTGTGTGTGCATGTGCATGCATGCGTGTGCGTGTCTTAAATTTCTTCTGCAGGATAAGCGGCTTTTGCAGGTGAAAAACCCATGGCAACACCTGCGCTGGAGGGTAAGCGCTTTAAAATACACCTAGACGTGTGTGCTGAGAGAACATCAACTGTATTATGGTGCGTGCGTGTGTACGTGCATGCGTGCTTGCGTGTGTGCCTGCATGTGTGCGTGCGTGTGTGTGTGTGTGTGTGTGTGTGTGTGTGTGTGTGTGTGTGTGTGTGTGTGTGTGTGTGTGTGTGTGTGCGCTGGTCATGCCGATGACATTGAGTTTCGCCGATGGCGCTGTCCTACTCGCAACAACTCGCACTGCAGCCGACCTCTCGCTGTTTGTGTCCATGTCTCTGTACATGTCCATGTCCATGTCTCTGTACATGTCCATGTCCATTTTTTTTTTTTTTACGGGGTAACGGCCTCTTTTACGGGCAAAATAAAGTCATGTAGACGTGAAAAAATTGAGATACCATGAAAGGTAAAATAGAATTTTATTCAAGTACAATAGATTGGGAAACTCCAAGAAATTCCACGTAAAACAGACGGAATTCAGTTTTCAATGGCCGATGCCTACCCCAGCACCATCCTGCGTCGACAGGCCTGTCAGGCGCCTTCTAGACCCGCGTAGCCGGAGGTCGACTGCCTGCTGGGGGTCCATGTCCATGTCTCTGTACATGTCCATGTCTCTGTACATGTCCATGTCTCTGTACATGTCCATGTCTCTGTACATGTCCATGTCTCTGTACATGTCCATGTCTATGTTTTTGTTTATATACATGCCCATGTACATGTTTATATGTTGTACATGGGCATGTAGTACAGTCCTGCTCAATGAAATCCAGTCGCGTCACACAAGTACGCGCCGGGCGTTGAGCAGCCCTAGACCTGGGAACACTGGGCTGCGAAACGGTGCAAGGCGCAAACTTGAGTGACGCGACTGGATTTCATTGAGCACAGCACTGTACATGCTAATGTTGTACCTGTTTTATGTTCAATGGATTGCTTACTGGCACTGTACCATATAGGGTGACTACGGCGTGGACGATGACAAGAACTGGACTCCGGCACTGGAACGGCAGTTTAACTATGATCGTGATGCTGCACGGAAATCAGACAACGGTACGCACCAATGGCCATGCTGCTGCTGCTGCCACTGTGTTTGTACTACATACATTGCTTGTGAATACAGAACTGGGAGATGACGCTTTGTTGCAGAGAGCAACATACACTCATATAATTCTCTAATCCAGACGGGATGGGACTGGGCACTGGCCATAACTTCCAAATGTCCGTAACTCGGAATTAAATGTGTTTTTTTCCTTCGTAGTACGTACTACCCATTAAAATGGGCAAGGGCCAGAGATCGGGCATATGGCGCCACTATTTCCACACGAAGCATGGCAGAAGACTAGTAATATCTCCACTAAAACTCGCCCACAGGGTGCCCGATATGCAGGGGAATGTGCTGAGGACTGTTGGGGACGCCACTGGCGATTGGTCTGGTACGGGGTCCCCGGCCGATGGCCTCGGAATGCGGAGGAGCCCCCGCGCTGAAAACGTGGTCCTTAGCCAAGAGCTTGTCCTTGGACTCTATTAACCAATTGCGCCTCATTTTGGACAAGGATGCATTGGCATGTCCCAGCAGTACCAGAGTTCTCTGGATCACATTTTTGACTTCAGGAATGATGTCAGTGGCTGTCACACTACCAGCCTGCACTGACGGGTCCGTCTCCAACGAAGCCCGCAAACACAACACTGGCCCAGCAGCCTGGTGTATTGCCGCAATTTGCGTTTTGCAGGTCACTCAACTGTCCACCCGTCTGGCGCGGATACGCAGCACCCAGCCACGTTGCAAGAGCATCGTCCACTTTAGGTGTTATCAATGTGTCTGTGCGGGGTCTCGGATGAGCCTCCATCATAGCCTTACCGGCTGGCTCAGACAAAGTACGGCGGAATTTTTTATCAACATAATCCCGCACCACGCCAGGAGCCTCAAACACATATAACCTACTGGCAGTCGTCAGCGCCTTCGGAACGAATACAACTTCAGCAGCTGACGCTCAGGCTAATTCTACTGGCGCATTTCTGTCTGCCAAATCAGACCGTGCTGAGTTTCCGCTCAGCCACGGCCGTTCAAGCTCCTCTTGAGCATATTCGTCCAACTCAGTAGCTGGATTTCCGTCCTGCTCGATGTACCTGCCGCTTGAAATTCAACGAATGTCATCGTGTAACATTTTCTTTCAAGCATTAACGCTTTTAGCTCTGCAGTCCTTGCCTCCAGCACCAGCTGCTTGATCAGGGCGCCGATGACGCGCTCATCTGTTGCGCCGAATCCATCGTCATCAGCCTCACCGTCATCATCATCCGTACCCCCACTTCAGTCCACGCCACCTGTGAGCTTGGCCCACAGGCAGACCTCTTGTGCAATCCGCACACAGAACTGGTAAAAAGACTCTTCTGGGTTCTGATGCGTCGTGGTGAGCGCTCGCCAGGCCTTCTCCGGCGTCTTGCCGAAGGCGAGCAGCAACTCTCTCTCTTCGCGTCGTCATAACGACGGCAACCTTTACATGACTTCTCCAGTCGTGTCCTCACCACCGCCACTCTCAGTCTAATCAGCCACTCATCCTTGGTAAACCCATTCTGGGTGGCCACGTCCTCGAACAACTCGAGGTACATGGTGATCGACTGCCGATTGTCGTATTTCGGCATCTTGTTAGTCGCACGCTTCGTGTGACTCGTACCACTGCCAGTAACACTACTGGTACTCGTCAGTCTGCTCCGCGGACCCTCAGCTTGCGATACAGACTCGGCCTCTCGTTTGACGTCGGCCAACTTCTCTTCATACTCCTTGCCCATCTCCTCCCGCAGCTGGGCCAAGGGCCATTGTTCCGCTCGTTCGTTTCGTTCTCGAACTTCAGCCAAACGAATATCAACGTACTCTCTCAGGTCATTCTCTTTGTAACCATACGCCGTTCCGTTGGGGATAAAAGTGGCCTCCAGGTCGCCTAATCCTACCGATGCCATCCTGGCGTGGCCCGAGTGATCCGAGTGATCGGAATCCGGGTCGCGGCCCGATGCCATTGAGTTTCCGCTCAGCAGGGCATACACACTGCTCTGAGCAGGTGGTGGTACTTTCGAGGCCATGGTTGTGACAAGAATGTCAGAGAAAAGCAAATTGAAACGTTCACAAACGGAGCGAAGAAAAAGGCCAGAGAGATTCTGGGAAGGGTTGGTTTTTGGCGGGAAATGAGGCTGAATGTGTTTATCTTTAAAAAACGTTCTGAATTATATGAAAACGGAACGATTTTGGGCCAAACGCACTGTCACATTCGAAGGCCGAGCGTCCGAAATGCAACGGGGTGCAGTATTCAGTCTTAGATGTCATGTCCGTGTCCTTCTCTTATCACTGTTATCAGTAATCCTATCCCCTTTCAAAGCACATGTGCTGACTAGGCCCAGTTCTATACCTTGTCGGGCTGAAATGTAGCATGCACTGTATTACGTGGGACACACTTCATCACTGTACCACTATATAACAACGTTTTCTTTCTGGTCACCTGAATTAAGTTACACCTGAAATCTGGCAGGTCCCTGACACCGAAATTTCAATACACCTAAAATCACATGTTTTACAGTACTGTACAAGCACTCTAGATAAGAAGCAGCATACTGTCTAAACTCTGCATACGTGCTAGTACGGTAGAATTGACCAAAGGCCATCCTAGTGAGACTGCCTGCAATTAGTTGTTGCCAGAATAAGATACTGCTGCCGTGTGCTCATCATTCCGACCCTACTGCATTTGCTTCTGAATATACCGTACTCGCGCCATTAGTGCCCCTAGGGCACTATTTTTTTCAATGTCCATCACAGACGGGGCACTATTCAAGAGAGGGCACTATTTTTTCAATGCTGGTACATTTGCGTCATCGAGCATAAAAACAAAGCAAAGCAGAGCCTAAAGTTTACTGTAAACTATCACGACTCGACAGAAACGGCAACAAGAACTGCGATTTTGATTCTGAAACCACCAGTGCAGTGACATAGACAAGAACATTAGCAAAATAGTAACTTGTACGTGTGCTTGTTTACCAGCCGGGGGGGGGGGGGGGGGGGGGGTGGGGGCACTATTCAAGAGAGGGCTTTATTTTTTTAACTGGGGACTATTCGACTATTCGAGATAGGGATCACTCCACGACAAATTGAGCACACACATTTTCACTGTTCTCATACATGTGTGTGTGTGTGTGTGTGTGTGTGTCTGTGTCTGTGTCTGTGTGTCTGTGTCTGTGTGTGTGTGTGTGTGTGTGTGTCTGTGTCTATGTGTGTCTGTGTGTGTCTGTGTGTGTCTGTGTGTGTCTGTGTGTGTCTGTGTGTGTGTGTGTGTGTGCATATGTGTGTGTCTGTGTCTGTGTGTGTGTGTGTCTGTGTGTGTGTGTCTGTGTGTGTGTCTGTGTGTGTGTGTAGCTGTGTGTGTCTGTGTGTAGCTGTGTGTGTGTGTGTGTGTGTGTGTCTGTGTGTGTGTACACTGTACATTGTACTTGTACATCCGAATCTGTGAATGTTCCTGACTCAGGCGTGTTTTGGATCAGTTGGGAAGCCCTGCAGCACTTCTTTGATGTTGCGTATGTCAACTGGGATCCGGCGCTGTTCACACGGAAGTGCATCTTCCACGCGTACGTTCTTTCTCCCATTTGAATCTTCCCTTTCCCAATAATTTTGTATGCGAACATGCATGTGTGTGTGTGTGGGGGGGGGGGGGGTACGTGGGTGCGTGTGTGGGCGTACATGCCTGTGTGTGTGTATGTGTGCGTGCGTGGGGGGTCCTGTGTGTGTGTGTGTGTATGTGTGCGTGCCTGTGTGTGTGTCACTGTGTGTGTGTGTGTCACTGTGTCACTGTGTGTGTGTGTGTGTGTACGTGTGCGTGTGTGCTTGTGCGTGTACGCGCGTGTGTGTGGGAGGTCTGCGTTCAGGACATCGGCTACTACATGTTTTTTACATGTTGAAAGCATTATACTTGCATTGTATTTCTTTTGTTTGGCAGCATGGTCCGCATGGTGCATGGTGCATTTTCAATGGACTTCTGATGCACTAGGATATACATACAAGCAGGCATCTTCCCAGTACATGTACATGACTGTACTTGTTAGATACTGAACTAGTATTGGGTTATACCATGACTGTACTTGTACAGGCATGTGCTCAATGAAAAGTTGACATATTCCTACCAGAGCATTGGATTCTATCCATGACTCTCCACAGTATTTTTCCCAGGACTTTTTTGCTGTCCTATGCGAGCTTTGTTGGTTGTGAGACGTATCCGCTTGCCCCCGCCGAGGCGCTGCATCTGCTTCTGAGTTACTCTGTGTTTTAGCAGCCGTCGTGAATTCTCCCGGGAACGGAGATGAACACTCACGTTTACTCTTTATGCAAGCTCTGTACTGGATTTGAAATGTGACGTAATTTTCCCTGTCTCTTCTTCTTCTGTACAGCTCATGGTCTGCCGCCTCGTCTGGCATAAAGCGGGACAGCTTTTCATATGGTAAAGCTTCTGCCACTGTGCCACCGTGATCGTGTGTGCTTGGGTCTGAGCTGTGGAATTTTGAGCCCACAGAACCTCTGATTTGCCAGAGACAGAAACTGTGTTTTTTGTTTTGTTTTTTTTTCTACAAAATCCACATATCTCTGTGGATGACTTCTACCAACAACGGTAGCCAACTATTGCCTGCCGACGTTTTATAGCACTGGTTGCTTGTTGAATAGAGTGGTAGTGACAAACTGTACACGATGTGCTTGTTCTTTGTAAGGACAGACTAATGCTCCCCGCTCTAGTATCCATGTGCATGCACTGGGTTTTCTGCTGGCACTGTATGCGGTGACCTGTTATGGCTATTAAATTGGCAGTGTGTCTACATTGTACAATCGTCATGGTATTGATCTGGGCCTGAATGTGTCGTCTGATCATGTTCTGTGCGTAGCTCCTAACCCGCAGTATCACCTGGAGGTCAACTCTCCCGGCACGGACTCAGTGGTGTGGGTTCTGCTCAGCAAACATGTGACTCGCAAGGTAGGTTCAGTACTTAACTTAAACACACTTGTTTCTCGTAGTGCATGTGCATGCATAGTATGCATGACAATCAGGGGGGTCGGACACGGTACGGTCACTACGGTATTGACCGTACCACTTTCCCCCAGGTACGGCGTGAATCAATGAAATACTCTGATCTGGGCTCTAAATTTCCAACATTTTCGGCTGGGCCACCCCTCCCCACAAGTAAATTGTACTTCGGATGGCTGACGGTACCACACTAAAATGCCGTTGAACTGGGCTAGGGCGGCGCCAGAGTCACCATCGGTAACCGAAATGTCAGCTAGGGTCTTCTTAGCGGAGATGGTGTCACAAGATAGGAGCGCATTCTGCTGAAGAGACTAGCGTAAAACCAACGGTTTTTGACTAAACCGAATGTGGCTTCATAAGGCCACGCCGTTTTTTTCCTATGTTTCGCGTCACCTTATTCGATGAAATCAATGAGGGAGGGCGAAAAAAATAAAAAGCCATCCAAAAAAACAGTGTACGTGCATTGCATTTGTGTACAGTGAAGCGACGCGGCACTGTTCATGTATAATCATTGTCTGTGTATCCCCTCTGCCATGCTTGTGGTCCAAACACAGGCGGCATGATGATTGTGTGACTTGCGGCCCAGCTTATTACACACACATGTACATGACATGTGTGTGAGCTGAGATAACACTGATCATGTTCCGTTTTTTTCCTTTTGGGTTACATTTTCCGATTTTCTGGGTTTGCATTAAATTTGTATTGCATTTTCAAAAAAAAAAATTTGTTCCGTTTTTTTTTTTTAACTCCGCCTGTGAAATACATGCGCGCGGGGGACGCGAAACACAGATAAAAAACGGTGTGGCCTAAGAAACGGGCAAAACGCCAGCAGCGGCCGGAACTGGAGCAATAGCTGCAGCATTAGCTAAACCACTAGGTGCCCGTCGTGCTGCCAGCTCGGTGGAATGGCACAATGTGGCCAAGCTTCCGTTGCACAGAGAACGTCCAGTGATTCTTGCAATATTGAAAGTCAGCTACAACATTTCGTTTATTGGGAAGGCTGCGGCAGTTATAACACTGCTGTGGCGTCTTGCTTGGCAGCAGATTCTTTTCTGCTAGCCCCATGCTTCAGGTCACCTAGCTCAGTCGTCAGTTGACGTTTCTCCGTGAACTCCTCATTAGTTCCAGACTGCTTCTTCCTCCACAGATCGCCCTTGTGATGCGCGTCCAGCATCAGCAAAGTCCTGTCCTGGGTTCCTTTCTTGTTGGTTCCAGCAAACCTTCGGTCACGCAAAGAATCGAGGGCCACAGCTGCCTTCTCGTAACCTGGAGACCCACGCAGAAACGGATTTGCTCCACCTCTCAGTTGCCTCAGAAGGACCCAATCCATGGCCAAGTCAAGTTTTATGCATTTCTCCTCGTCTTTCCACCCGCGGATGATGGTTGAGGACCCTCCAGGCGAAAGGGAGTCGGCAGGCAATGGAGAGGAGCAAGCAGAAGTAGCTGGCGATGCTGATGTTGTCGAAGACACCTCTGGAACCGTGACGAGATTAAAAGAATCCTGTTCGAATAAACCGTTCAGAAGGTGGGGGACATCACGCAACTGCATTGTAAATAAAAGGGGGTTTGTCACCTGACAACCGCTCTATTTAATAGTGGCAATCCACTCCGAATAAAAAATAAATAAACCGAGACTTTCTACATGAAACTTCTTTCGAAAAGTACTCGGTAGTGTTGATGTTTTTGAGTGGAGTGGACTTAGGGGCCGTCCGTAAATATCGATGTTTTTTTAGAGACGATATTGGTGCGTCTGGGGGGGAGGGGGTTTGAGCCATGTGCGTCTTTTCGAGCATCAGAAAAATATCGATGTAAATATCTGAAGTTTCGCCGATCCCTGCACGCGGACGTCTAAATGGTTATACAAGAAATGTGAAACCAGCTTCCGTTCGCGGAGCTAAGACTCGCGACACACGAACAAAATCAAAAATTGGAAGCTGTACGCCCATGGCGAATTTCAAGAGCAAAAGAATGAGCTATTGATTGTGGAAATCGGCCGAACGATGCCTGCAGGAGACCTTTTTCAAGACGTAGAGGCAGTGCGAACAAACACGGACGAACTCCACAAGAGTTTCCAGTCTTCACTGTCTGAACAAGGATTTGAAAAAATGAGCATCCAAAAATATTGATTCCATGATCTAGATGTACATGTGCGTCTTCTGGGGGGAGGGGGGGGGGGGGGGGTCAAGGGAGAGAAGCACCAATATCGTCTCTAAAAAAACATCGATATTTACGGACGGCCCCTTACTCCGTTCTTGTTGTGATATTTGCCTTTCCTGTTCTGCCTTCATGCCACACACTGAAGGCTTCCTTTGCAGACAATCAGGACTTCATCACCGTACATGTGTATGATGGAGACAAACGTATCTTTTACCCGGGTTAGTTCACTAGTACATGATGTACTTCAATTACTATACTGCTGCTGCTGCTGCTGCTGCTATAGCCAGGCGCGTGCCCCGTATGGGTTCCTGGGTGCCCGGAACCCCCCCCCTTTTTCGCTCAAAATGCAGGATTTTGCTTCATTTTTTGAAATTTTTCCCGGGGGAGGCCCCCGGAACCTCCCCCCCCTTCAAGGGCACCGGCGCACGCGCCTGGTAGCTGCCGCTGCCACTGCTGGTCCTGCTGTTGTCGTCACCGCCTGCTACTCTTTCAGCAGTAATAGCTGCGGTGCCAGCAGCAGCATGTACATGTACTCAATGAGAAGGCAAGATACGCTGATCTCTTTTTTGTTGTTGCAATAGATTGCTTGATTGATCTACCTGTATTCATGTGCACTGAAAATATGTGTGTATGTGTGTCCATGCACCTGTGTGTGTGCGTGCGTGCGTGCGTGTGTGCGTGCGTGCGTGGGCGTGCGTGCGTGCGTGGGCGTGTGTGTGTGTGTGTGTGTGTGTGTGTGTGTGTGTGTGTGTGTGTGTGTGTGTGTGTGTGTGTGTGTGTGTGTGTGTGTGTATGCGTGTGCATGTATGTCTGGCTGTCTATGTCTGTATCTGCATGTACGCGTGCCCGTGTGTTATGCTTGGTAGACGGACCGCGTGTGCAGGGAGTAAAGATCAACAGCATCCACTACCTGGCCAAGATCGAGAACGTGCCACGCGGCCGCAGCCACTACATGCTGGTCATCTCACAGTATGAGCAGACCAACAACATTGACTACACACTGGAGGTCAGTTACGACTACATGTACATGTACATGACACATGGCTGACTGTACATCACGTGCATGTACTACGTGTAATTCTACTGCATTCGCAGTGCTGGTCAATGAAATCCGATGACGTGAGTGTAGTGTGTGCGGGGCCCTGCACCGGTGCACAGCCCGGTGCTCACAGGTCTGGGGCTGCGCAGCGACTAGCGCGCACTTGACTCACTTGATCGGATTTCAATGGTCAGCACTGTACTTGTACGTGTACTTCGACGTACGTATGCTACGTGCACGTGTGTTTTGAGCAGCTGCTCGTTCACACTGACACTGCATAGTGATTTCCTTCTGCTAAGAGTTATGTAGGACAGGCAGTAGCCAGGCAGACTTGAAAACCAAAAGGTTTCGCTGGCCAGGGGGAGAACACAATTCCATTTCATACAGATACAAGGTACGTGCTGTGTTGAGTACAGCCTCCTAGCCTAGACCGTTCTTATTTTTGATGTATTACAGTCTATGCGCAGTCGAGCTACCGTGTATACATTGCCTCATTGGTATGCTGTGCTTGATGAAATTCTAGCCTGTCCTGTTCTTCGGTGTCCGACATTACTGTATGGAGCAATCTTCTCCTTAGTGGGAGCTAGTGCAGCAGCTGTGTGCTGCAAACACAGCTGATGGCCAATGTGGTTGTGCTCTGCAATCCTTCTGAATGGTTGAAGCTACTTCCTTTCCTTCGTGGACTTTGAGTCTGTGTGTGTGTATGTGGGTTTGTTTATGTGTTGTTGTTGTTGTTGTTGTTGTTGTTGTTGTTGTTGTTGTTGTTGTTGTTGTTGTTGTTGTTGTTGTTGTTGTTGTTGTTGTTGTTGTTGTTGTTGTTGTTGTTGTTGTTGTTGTTGTTGTTGTTGGCGTTGTTGTTGTTGCTGTTGCTGTTGCTGTTGCTGTTGCTGTTGTTGTTGTTGTTGTTGTTGTTGTTGTTGTTGTTGTTGTTGTTGTTGTTGTTGTTGTTGTTGTTGTTGTTGTTATTTGGGGGGGGGGATGCTTTTGCTTGCTGTGTCAGGTGCACGCAACTTGCTCTATCCAGTTGAAGTTGATGCCGACTGTGGCAGAGATGTACCGAATCCATAAGCATGTAAGTATCTAATAACTCTGGCTCCGGACAGCTTGCTGTTTGAACCTTGTTAGGTTTCGTCAGCAGAGCTCCGGGTGCTCGATCGGCATGACAATGTGACTGCTGGAGTTGGAAGGAAATCTTTCCTGCCTTGACATATTGCCTGGAGACCTGATGGTGCTGAGAAACCTCATAGCTAGTCCTCATTTGTTACCAGGAAAAGATAGTTGCAGTCACTGCCAGCTAGCTTCACAGAAGGCGCAAGCAGCGGTGGTGAACTAGTACTACTGGTGCGGGCGGTGAAATCCGTTGAGAAAGTCAAGCGGCCACGGGGCGCTGGCCTTCCAGCCGTGAGCACTGCTGGCCCAGTGTCGCAGTGTTTCAGTGTGTGTATTTGCTAAGCAAGTAGGGCGCCGGCCCCGGTCATTCCACCGGATTTCATAGTCCACAAACAGTAGTACATGTATTGGAGCTTACATGTATCATTTTTTCCTTTCTTGCTCCAGGTGGCTGATAAGTGGACAGCTGCAACTGCTGGTGGTTGCCAAAACAATCGGACCACATTCGGCAACAACCCAGTGTTTCAGCTCACACTGCAGGGCACTGGCACAGCTAATCTTCTTGTGGAGCTCAAAGGAATCAAGTAAGGCTACACCGTGTGTTTGCACATGTGTGTGTGTTTATGTGTGTGTGGGGGGGGGGGGATGCGTGCGTGCGTGTGTGTGTGTATGTATGTGTGTGCTAAGAAAAAACTGTGCTTGCGTGTGCTTGTGTGTGGGAGAGAGAGAGAGAGAGAGAGAGAGAGAGAGAGAGAGAGAGAGAGAGAGAGAGAGAGAGAGAGAGAGAGAGAGAGAGAGAGAGAGAGAGAGAGAGGGAGGGAGGGAGGGAGGGAGGGAGGGAGGGAGGGAGGGAGGGAGGGAGGGAGGGAGGGAGGGAGGGAGGGAGGGAGGGAGGGAGGGAGGGAGGGGGAGGGAGGGAGGGAGGGAAAAGAGATGGATACAATGGGTGCTGGCATATGATGCGTTCTAGCATTCTGTTGAACGATAGTCTGAACAGACTAGTATATTTTGTTTCCTGTTCATGAACTGACTGGAGTATTGTCCTGTCCACTGCGACGAGCGACCAGAATTACTCCTGCCAAACTTCACCTGCTGTAGTTCTGAACCGAGTGCAATGTGCAATTTATGATGTAGCTGTCAAGCTGTCCATTTTGGCTTGCTTTTGCTTCAAAAAGCCCATGGATCTCCAGGCACTAGGTCTAGGCTATTGGCACAACATGTAATATATTGTGTGAGGTGCTTGACGTCTATTGGTCTTTGTTTTCAAATCTCAATGTGATGAGAACATTATTGATTCACCTCTGGGACGACATGTGTGAATGCTGATGTTCTTGCTGACAGGGAGTTTGCTGTGGGCTTTGACATATCCGCCGATCCGAATAGTGCAGAGGGAAAGTCGTACAAGCTGCCTCCACCAGCAACATACCGGTGAGTGATCTACTGTGTGCGTGTATATGTGTGTACTTCGAAGTATGTGTGTGGCCGTGCATGCGCGTGTGTGTGTGTGTGTGTGTGTGTGTCCCCTGCGTGTGACCGGTATCCCGGAGGCGCAATGGTACCACCTTGCTCAGGACCGGAGGGACTGGCGCGAGCGTAGCCGTCGGAAGCCACCAAGCCAGCCCCAACCAAGAGTGTTCGTCTGTGTCTACGGCCGTGACTTTCGCCGTCCGAATGATTTATCCCGACACAAGAACTACTGCCTCGCCTAATAGCTACCATCGCCTTTGGCGATGGGCTTTCCAAAGGTCCAAAGGTGTGTGTGTGTGTGTGTGTGTGTGTGTGTGTGTGTGTGTGTGTGTGTGTGTGTGTGTGTGTGTGTGTGTGTGTGTGTGTGTGTGTGTGTGTGTGTGTGTGTGCGGAGAGGAAGCAGATTTGTTAGCTCCTGGTTTTCTCTTTGTTGGCCTCCTCCACGGGGCGGCCTTGGCCTTCTGGTCAGGGTCGTCCCTGGGTATTGACTGGCAGTAGGCTTTTCATGCCTTGCAGCCGGTTTCGCTCGCGCGGAAGGACATTCAGTGAGCTGACGACCAGGGCGGGTAATTTGTTGCCGTCACCGTCTTCTTGCGTCCTTTCCGCATCCTCCGCAGTGGCGTGGCGAGCCCTCGGATCAATCCCCAGCCTGTACCAATGCAGTGGCGTTCGTGGATTCCTAGATGATAAAGGATACAGGTCACACTCGCAACAATTTATTCCTGCGCGGTGATAGCTGGAATTGTGAATGTGTCGTGTTGTTTGGACCTGAGTGGCCAGTCGTCGTGCGGCGACGGTGTAGTCATGTTATCTTGCTGCGCATACTCCTCGTCGTTTCGTGAAAGTACGTCTTGTGGAGCCCTTGTGGGACGTTCGGTGCCCACCCTCCAGCTCAAGATTGTGCTTTCCTGGTGCATGAAGGCCGAAGCAGTACGGTACAGACGTTATTGTTGAACAGAACATCATGTTCACATTAATTTTGTTCCTTTTTCAGTCGTTGCATGTTATACTTATAGTGGACCTACAGCAGACTGTTCATCTGGTTTGTGATATTTCCTTCCTCTGTTTGTGAGTCCTTTTCCATCAATATGGCAGCTTGTTTTGATTTCCTTTTTTTCTTCAATTCATTTTGCTGTACTTCCTGTTTTGTTTGCGCCACTGCCCCTCACCTTGCGCTCAGTTCTCTGAGTGGAGGGCGGCGTGACCCCAAGGGGTAGCTGATTGATAGTAGTGTGTGTGTGTGTGTGTGTGTGTGTGTGTGTGTGTGTGTGTGTGTGTGTGTGTGTGTGTGTGTGTGTGTATCAAGATGGGGTGCTTGGCTCTGGTGGGATTTGTACAGAACTCTCAAGACTGCGTAACTGCTCAGAGTGTCCAGCTCTCACGGTGAAAGCCCAGGTCTTTTGTTTTAATTCAGTGTGTGTTGATTGTTGTGCACTGTGTTCTTGTGTCTACTTGTATGCATAGACCTGGGTACTATGTTCAGTCATTTCCCAATGTACCATGTCCGGGCGTGTTCCGCATTATACCCACCACCTATGACGCTGGCAAGGTCGGGCCATTCTTTCTAGATGTCTACTGCTCGACCACGTTTGTCCTGGAGCGCTTGAAGTAGCATGTCTCCACAGCTGGACTAGTTGCACTGATCCTGCGTTGTGCCCCCCCCCCCCCCTCTCTCTCCCCCTCCCCGTCTCTCTGATGGCACTTTGGGTATGCACATAGCTCCCTTATCCTGCCTTGCTGCTACTCCATTTCCAGCCTATGCAGGCATTCAGAGCTACATGTATTGCTAAAAAATACTTTTGATTTTTACATTTCTCAAAGTTTGCCCAAAACTTTAGGTTGTGCTTGTGTCACATGGCACAGGTGTTTGACAGGCAGGTCCTGTCATGCTTTGTTTGCCTTTTTACAGATTCATTCCCTTTTTATCTCTTAGGAAACGCTGGCTCCGTCCATGGTATCATGCATCCCTGACCAATATCACAATTGCTCTGCCTAAAATTTAATTTCTTTATCCTGTATTTCCATTTAGACATTCTGCTCTCTTTTAAAAGGTTTCTCAACGTTTTTCGGCTCTGCTTCTATGATAGGAAATACAGTATCCTGTTCAATAGTACTACCGTATACACATGTTACTGGCTCTCCATGCCATACAAATCACTATAGCGTAATGCATACCGTAATCTCGTGCATTTTTAAATGCTCATATATTCGAAAACAAGAACATGTCCTTAAAAGGACATGTTCTTGTTTTCGAATATATGAGCACTCTCGCTTATAAGAACATGCACATTAAATTTTATAAGTGAATGAAAATCGCAAAACCACATGAGGTTCATCACGGTTCCACTGTACTGGCGTTCACCAATAGTATGCGTACTTGCACATGTACATGTCAATGCGATGTTTGTCTCTTGCATATAAGACCATGGTCTTATAATCGAACGAAACTGCACTTGTGAAAGGACAGAAAACAGCGACTTTTCGATTATAAGACCATGGTCTTATATGCGCGAGATTACGGTACCAGCAATGACAACATTGTGGTACACATGGTGACCTGGATGATGGAAGCTGGGCTAGCATGACTCAACTGCCCTCGAGTACATGTACCGTATTACAGGACTGGACTATAGTATGATCAAGAGTACATAACCCCCAAGAGTACATAATCCCCCAGAGTGTGCAACGCCTGATCCAGCAGCAGGGGTTATGTACTCTTGGTATGATTGTACACTACTATGTCTGCGTGGTAGACCCATGTCAGATCTACATGTGCATGACTGTAGAATGCATGCATGCACTGCAGCTGCACAGCACGCCGTCTTATTATTGCACTAATAAGTAATAGCGTTTACTGTGAAGTATGTACAATGTACTGTCATTCAGTCTAGACTATGTCACCCCATATCACCCAAGTCGGAGAGAGCGAGACTGCGAGTGACCAGGTGACAGGACACACGTGTGCGGGAGAGCATGGCATCCTGTCAGCGACCTGTCACAGGCACGCAGGCATTGTGCCACGCTGACCACTAGCCTACTGGCGTGCATAGTCACACAGACAGATATGTAGCTGCGTGCAAGCATCAACTAATCTGATCAAGTTCACTTTCTCAACATCGCCATGCAGTAAAATTTAATATGGTTCCCCTAGGAGACTCCATCTCTGACTTGGAATTCACCTTTTACTTCGAAAGAATTTCGCCAGCTGTTTTGAAGTTTCTACTCAGTTTCCATTATTCCTTCTTTTGTCAGAACATTGGCAATCAGAGTAATGTTGTAGTATGCAGGTGGTGAGTGTCCACCGACTAACCAGAGCAACAATCAAGCAAGGTGCTAAGCAGTAGAACATGTTACGGAGGACTACTGCATGTGGACTGGGCCGCTGAGCAGAAACGCAGAGGTTGCAGCCACCTATGTGGTAGCCTGTGCCATGCATACACTCCACACTAGATTCTGCTGCAGTGGTGCCAGCTGAGGACAGCCACTTCAAGACAGCGGCATAGTGCTCTCTGATGGAGTATTTACGCTGCTACTGTCTACTCAGGCATGTAATCAACATCAGTCAACATGCTAGTAGTCGATTGATGAGCATGTATTGATCAGAGTATGTGGAGTATGGAATATGGAGATCATTCAGTTTTAAAACACAGTGCTCCAACACACCTGACAGTTCACAGAGTAGAAGCAAATGAAGGCGTTAAAACAAGTAGCAACCGTCAAGTCGAGCATTGAGAATTTCCAAATAAAGAGCGGGCTGGGCAGGCGGGACGTGTGGGCAGGAAAAGGTGTCACCGCTTTCCACGCCGCTTGCCGCTCGGTCGTGAATCAACATCTAGCGGAGACGGCGCCCACTGGACGGGGTTACGGCGGAACATGGGCCATGGTGGAAGAACAAGCTGCAAGAACAGCGCCAGAAATACCAGAGACAATGGCTACGAGTTAGGAAAACTAGAACATTGAACGATACCAGTTGGAATCAGCAGTGAGGGGAAGTTGTGAACATGGATGAACAAGCGACTCATGGACATGTCGTGTCACATTGAAAACTGCAATAGTAGAAAAGCTGACAGGATCGCTTTTCTAAAGGAATTCAACGCCATTCGCACATCAACATACTAGTATAATTATGTAGCTAAAATATACATAGCTACAGGCTTAGCAGTGAGTGCCCTGCGGTACCTCGTCCTAAGTTAGCCCATCCAGCCTTCAGCCTTTCAGGGCATGATCCAGTGCAGAATGCACTTTGTCCTACTTTACAAGTCGCGGCAGTGATTTCTCATTCGCATCAGAAATTTGATGCCAGGCACCGCACATGAAAATGCCACTTCCACCAACTCAATACTGGACACTACCATGCATGTATGCATGCAGTGATACAGTACTGTCGGGCGCCGAAGAACCTGAGAACGGAGCGCCGAAGAACGACCAGGCTAGAATTTCACCAAGCACAGCATACCAATGTATACACGGTGACTCAACTGTGCATACTGTAAGACCAGGTATTTTAACGTCAATTAAAGTTAACGATCTCCGGATTTTTGTGGGTTAGCGAGGTGAAATTCTACCGAATTCTGTCTCAAAACAGGCAAATGACTGTACATGTACATATCGTTTTGCACATAACAATTTCAAACGTTAACGTTGCTTTCAAATTCGTTAACTCATTAGAATGTTCGTTAACATTACTGATCTTACAGTAGACTGTAGTACATGGATATAAGAACAGTCTGGGCTAGGAGGCTGACCCCCCCCCCCCCCCCAGTTCTTCGGCGACCAACAGTACTGTAGGTCTCGTCCAGGTGAGTGACACACTAGAACAAGCCATGCCAAGTATCATACATGTACTTGTACCATACGAGTGAATACATCGTGTACAGTGGAGATTGCACGTAAGAAAGAACAAGCCACTACAATGCACAGTAAAACCTGTGTTTGCCGGACCCTGTAACAAGCAGAATCCTGTATTAAACGGACAAGTTTTCATGCACCGACGTGCTGTGGATCGAACATGCGTCCCTGGATCGAGCGGATTCCTGCATAGCAGGAGAGTTTCCGCTGTGCACCAAGGGTGTCCGGTTAGGCCAGGTTTTACTGTATATTCAATCTGTCTCTAAACCCGATCTTCGGAAAGGACTTGCAACAGAAACTAGCCGTCAAACTCGTTGTTGTGATATGCAAGGTTGTTTTATCTTATCTCTAATGCACGAACACGAGCACACACATCTGCGAGTGATCACAACTAGAAACAATAGCTACGCAAGCGTCTGAAGGAGAGGGGGGGGGGGGGGGGCAAAAAGAGTTTGAGAAGGCTACTCACTATACTATCTCATGGCGCAGCCGTATACCAGGTAAAAGCACTACTTACCAAACATGACAGGATAATACCGGCAGCCAACACGTACAGTGTCTGGCTAAACTGCTGACAGTAGAAGCCCCATAGAAACCCAACAATCTGTGTTAGCAATATTGGAACAGAATAAAGTGCACACACGCAAACAAATACACACACACACACACACACACACACATCCAAAGTTCCAAATCACATGCACGGCCCGACAAAAAAGACACAGTCGTATACAAACAAAGACCATGAGGACGGTGATAGGTATGTGCATGCGTGTGTGTGCATAGTGTATGTGCGCATGTGTGTGTGTGCACGAGTGTGTGTGTGTGTGTGCGTGCACGAGTGTGTATGGTGGGTGCATGTTCATATGTGCTAGCATTCACTCAGCGCCGTACCCATGCACCAAATCCACGATTTCTCGTAACAGCACACCCGGCTTTGCTCGATTCGCTAGATCACAGACTGCAAATTCTGGGTGCATGATTTTTCCTCAGTTTGCCAATGAAACCGCATGATGTAATGAAGGCAATGTGCCACGCATCTAACCCATAGAAAGGAGATCTCGGTTGCATACTCTTGTGTATATACCCTTGGTTATATCAATGCATGTGTACAGAAGAGAACACAAAATGTGACAAGCACATACATGTACATCATACCCCACACGAACTATGTACAGTCAGAATGGCGGACACAAGGGCACACAGGTTTCATCACCTGGAATACAAAACATTACAATGCAATTCGAAAAGCACGTTTTTTCTTGGACGGCGTGTGTTGAATGCAATAGCCAGGCCCAGGAGAAGAGTTGCTAGTACTGCCTTATGCGAATTCAACAGCATTATATCTACGTACAGAGAAAGATACTATTATCCACTGATAAAGCTGCTCAGCTAGTCTTTGCCCTTCGAAGTCCTGAAAGGCAAACGCAGAACCAGGATTATTTGAAGGTGGATTTCGTCGAAGTCAAACGACGTTAGCAGGATCCCTTACCAGATATAGATCTGGAATACGATCTACGATAAATGCAGGGAGATACATTGCTTATGACTCAACAAATCTACTTGTATGGATACTGATTCTGAACACCGAAATTTTTAATTTCACCCACAACTGCAAAAAATGATGTCCTGTCTCGAACTACTTCACAGCTAGCTAGCTACAGCTAGCTACCGACAGTCAGATCAGAGAAACTGAACAACATAAAAATAATTATGTCGACAGAACTACGTCATCAATGAGATAATGAACGACGCTAATATTTTACCGGTGGCCGCTTGGTGCACTATGTACTAGCCGCCGCAGCCAGGCGCTAGGCCTAGGCCCGGCGCCGGCGCCCCTCTGGCCTAGGCCTAGAGCATAGGCTAGATTTAGCGCCGCGATCGGCCGATTCAGCGTCAGCGCAATCATGTGATCGAGCTTGGTGCACCGGTGATCGTCTCATTCGATCGACTAGCGACTGCCTCTGCGTGTACGTCCGTGGTTAGCGCTCTCATGTACATGTACATGATGTAGGCGCCTAGCGCCTAAGCTAGCTCAGCGTGAGCTGGCCTCCCGTCCCGTGACCTGGTGACCAGTGACAAACATTAACTGCCAGGAAGATCAAAAGACAAAAGACGGCAAAGCGACTTCACTCAGGACTTGTTGTTGCAAAGTAACGTTTAGTTTGTAGTTCGAGTGACACAATCAAGCAAGAGTTCGATTTTTCGTCAACAACTGGTCCAGTCTTGCTAAGAGTTATCGTAGGCATTTCCTTCCTTGATTATAATTCTCCCAATTTCCTTTCGGGAACAATATTTGTCATGGATCTGAAAGTTCCATCAACTTTGGATGATCTGATATCTGCGTTGCACCAGGAGCTATCTGGCACATGTGCAGATGTAGAGAGAGTTAAATGGCTGATGGAGAAATACGAGGCTAAGCCTGAGGAGTATGAACGATTTTGCAAGTGGGATCCACACAGGTATTGCTCGGTGTTCTGTTTTGTTTTCGTGAGCAGTTTCTGATGCTGGAGAGTTTGTTTGCTTGGTATACAGGTACACTCGTACCCTGGTTGATCGTGGCAATGGCAATTTCAATTTGATTGTATTGTGCTGGGGAGAAGATCAGGGCAGGTAAGAGTTCTGACGGTTCGGTGGCTATTGTGCACATGTGATCGGTGTGAAATGCAGTACTGTTGTTATTGGGTTTTTTTTTCTCTTGCACAATAATTTCTTAGCTCCATCCACAGTCACGCAGACTCCCACTGTTTCATGAGAATTTTGGATGGGACCATGCAGGAGACTGTTTTTGACTGGCCCAATACGGAGAAAGAGTGTACGAGCGAGCAACTGGCGTCGTTGCAGAAGAGGGAGTGCAGAGAATATGCTGAAGGAAGCGTTGCGTATATCAATGGTAAGTCGTTGTTGCATTTTTTTTATGTCCGTCGCGAAAACATGTGGCCAGTACTGCAGTGTACATGTATATCGTTTTCTGAACAAAAGGAATGCTCCGGATATGAATGGTGTCACTGTGTGTAGTCTGGATTACGTACCGTGTTACGGACTCGACCTAAAAGTGTATGATTGTGTACGTTGTGCTCATCGAAGCTAGAACACGATGCAGGGTGTATTGTTTGGTCTTGGATTTGTTTTCAACTCACGTCACTAACGACTTTATGATGTAAAATTTAGTTACGTTGTTACACACAGCTCTGGTTCCTTTCTTTCAAATGTGTTTGTTGCGTGGGACAGCATGCGGCATGGGACCAGGGTGATCATGGGCTCTTGTGAAGCCCTACGCTGTGTAATGAATGACCTTTGTGCTCTTGGACTGATATGTACCACTGAGAACATACACCCATAATCCCATGCTTTAGCCCTTTAGGCGGAGAAAGTGCCCAGCACAGGATCATACTTCATAGCACTCTGTGTGCCTGCCTCTCAGGCGTAAATAGCACTTGCAGTGCTTTGTAGACTATTTTGCTGTTGTGTGTGTGTGTTTTTTAAACATTTAATGGCTGTTCTACTTTTTCGCAGAAGGGGTGAACTGGCATCCCTTGCCTGTGTCTTGTGAAGTCGACCAGGTTTTCTGCTAGTCCACAACTCTTACACACAAATACTCCTGGCAATTCACTGACTATTTACATGTAATGTGTTGGCCCTAACAGCTGATGTTACCCACAGCAGCTGCTTGTACCTACAACAGCTGCTCAGGGTATAGGCCGGGTGGTGTGCAGCGGATGAAGAATGTGGATACTGACTGGGGTGTTTGCCATGTCCAGCCCATTGGGTTGGTCTAGCCCTGTGTGTGTGTGTAGGAAGTGCACAGAGCAATGCGACTGCAGTGCTGGTTGTTATGCAACCACTGCTGCAGCGCTGGAGTCTCATTGGCAGTGACAGTGGCTGCACATTGTATAACCTCTGTAGCTACCCTGTACCCCAGGCACAGGGTCAGTCACACCTACTCAATCAGTCATGCCTCATGAGCAGCAGCAGCGTAACTAGTGCCATAACTGCATAAGGGGAGTACTTGGTCTACTGTAATGCCAGCAGTGTTAGTGCTGAGTGTGATGGGCACATGCCTGCACTACCAATACAGTCATGTACAATGCTATGAGATCTAACACAGTCACAGTAGCTGGTGCACTTTGCCACTGGGTCCTGGGTGCCAGGCAGGTGTGGATGTGTATAGTGGCGTATGCAGCCCATGCTCCCCAGTGAGTCATGTTGAGTTGCTCATTGTTCTGTCTCTAGATCTGCCCTGCCCTTGTTTCTTTTCCATGATTGCAGATTCGATGGGCATCCACCGAGTGGAAAATGCCAGTCACACAAGAAAAGCGATTTCGCTCCACCTATACTCACCACCTTTCGACATGTGCAAAACATTTGATGAGCGAACCGGCCATGAGCGTACGTGTCGGCTTACCTTCTGTAACTTCGCTGGTAGAACTGCGCCAAGCTGTAAACCTGAGGTGAGTTGTTGGGTAGTTTTATTTTTGCTCTGCCAAATATGATGCGCTTACTGCTGCACATGCTTCCCATTGTGTGTGTCTCGGGGGGGGGGGGGGGTATTACACTCAAATCCTACGCAGGACCAGACACTGTCTACAATCGAGAACTGTTGGTAAGTTAGCACTAGGGGTGCAACGAGTACATCGGGCAGACGGATACTCGCTTGCTTCTCCGAAGCTCGATAGCTTGGCGAACACTTGATAGATTTTTGCGCGTGTTTTATATCTCTGCCTTGCATGCAAAGCAGTGAACTGCTGCTGACTACATGTACTACATCTAATCATGTCACGTATGCACACACTGCGGCTGTGCATGACTCTTGTCACGTCTTAGCTGACAGACCTACAAAGATAATAATTATAATTATCATGGATAAAAGGAGGGACGAAATGTTACGAGTTTTTGTCGCACTCGCTGACTGTATGATCTTGTTACATTGGTGGACTGGACAGTCATAACTCGTAGCATTTTTTCCTTCCTTTTATCCATGATTACTTGGGAGTTCAAATAATTGTACACTCAAACGTCTCTTTATCCGGACGCCTAAGATACGGGCACGTCTCTCTACCGGGCACCTTCAGCTTGAGTTACTATGGCAAAAGTGCTTCGATTTTGGGGTTTGAACTTTTTTTCGTTTGTGCAAGTGCTTATTTGTCACTGCCAACCTGTGTAATCCACACATTTTCATCAATGGATCCTGAACGTATGCAATACATGCCGAACAAACTTCTTCAAAAACTATTATGATACATGGTAGATAAGCTGTCCTGAGATACGGGCTAATCTGAGGTACGGGCAGTGCCCGATCCCAAGGCGCCCGGATAAGAGACGTTCAAGTGTATCACTTTTTAAATACACCATTTGTGTTTCCTCTGCATATTTCTTTGCTAGTACTATAGTGTACACCATCATACATTTGCATTACATCTACTATCAAGTACTTACTCGATAGCTCCCTCGATACTAATACTGTAGAGGCAGAAAATTTCGTCGGTCAATAATTTCGTCCAACTCCAAAGAAAAGGAGTTCATCCGGTTAAAATTTCGTCCATGGATCATAAGAGTGTATAGAAAAGCTGGGCAAATCGACATTAGTCCTACATTTAATTTAGTCCAAAAGCTCCTTGGATGAAAAAGACGAAATTAAATTCCAGACGAATATTTCTGCTTTTACAGAAGGCCTTTAATGCACGTTGTACAGATGCACGAAATCCGGTAGAATCTAGTATAATCTTGTAGAATCTCGTAGACCCGGTTGGGTGTTGAATGTGCAGGACGCTATTGTGTTTACTGCTATTTCCACTATGAAATCGGCCCTGAAGGCATTTCATACGAAAACTTTTTTCTGGCATAGATCTAGCTAGTCGTTAGTTCATCCCAAAGTGAAGAAGCTGGAAAAGCGATTATTTGCCATGAAGTATGAGGCTAAATCGGTCAAGCGCGCATGTATAGCACACAATGAACACCCAACCGGGTATGTACACACCTATGGCCCTAGTACAGAACTTCGTACATCTGTACAACGTGCATATTAAGGGCCATAGTTTGACCAGATGCCTATTCCTCACAGGGGCTCGTACAGGAACACGTCTGGCATGTACTAGTAAACATAGTTTCAGTTTTATTCACCGTTTACGGTTGTGTTTCAAGTAGACCTGGACACTGGCGGCAAGTCTGCTTCACCATAATATTATTACATGTACTTCGATACCAGGGAGACGTGTTGACGTATGTATATTCAAGACTACGAAACAGAATGTTGAAGGCAAGAAATGCTTCCCAGTAGAAGTAATACTTGTTATATTTGTGCATGAGTTCTAAACATGCAGGTGGTTATGCGTGTAAGAAACCTCTGTTACGGCTCATGTTGAATTTTGTCTATTTCTGTTTTTCATCCGCTGGCTCCCAACACTGGTCACAGTGAGTGAAACTGTGTTTTCTTTGATGTCATGTTCTCTGCAGCCCTGTCAAGATGCATGATCGCCGTCAGCGTCATGCCAGCTCTTGCTTTGCTAAATGTATATACGAGTTTGCAGCAGCTGCTGCCTGCTAGCTGCTGTTGTACAGTGTAGTGTGCACACGCTGGCGTGTTGTATACTTCAATGCTGCGCAGCGAATGAGGATAATGGCCATCCACTCTGTGCGGCACATCGACACAGCAATATCGTGTGCACGATGGTATCGACGTATGGTCTGCCCCCGAGGCGCGCATTGTTACAGTTTGCACCGTTTCAGTCCGCTTTATTTTTGCCTCGGCCAGCATGCCTCTGCAGCACTGCAATGGGTTTGAGTGGTCAGCTGTGCTTGCCCCGCAGCCCAGCTGAGTTGATACGGTCTAGTCCTGGTAATAGCAAGTGTACGCCAATGACATAGATCTGTAACAGTGCTATTGATGCTGGTATCATGCCAGTATTTCACAAATTTTTATTCGTGTATATGACTGTGTTCCAGCACGTTTACTCCCGGTGCACTTGAAACCAGATCCGGTATTATATAATGATCAATGCTTTCCCAATTGCAATGTAGGGTGATGTCTCTGTTTTTTGTTTTTGTTTTTTTTCTAATCCCGTCTCGTTATTTTGTGCTGACCGTGGGTTTTAGCTCCACAGCGCACACCAAGTCAAGTGGTTGAGTACACGTGCACATTTTCAGAAGCTAGCAACCGCTCTAGTTCCGCTTGTCATCATTAATTTTTCTAATTCTCCCCCAGGGAGCCTAACTAGCCCTACATATTGGCTGACCTTCAGCCTGCATTGTGCCATGTTCTGCTGCTTTTCCACATTCCAGTACCCTGTTGAGCTGGCTCCTTCGGCCTCTCTGCCGTAGGTCAATTTCAAACGTCGTTTTAGGGAACGTCATCAGCACATGTACAGTGTCCCTCTCTGTTCTGACTGTGAGTGTGACATGTCGTCGAGCTTCTGTTTCGGCTGCGTCCCGTGGATTTCAGAGTAGGGTTGGGTCCCCAGATGATGATTCTGAGAAAGGACTGTCCATTTGCAAGTCACTCCCGCCGGGTGAGAGTGGTGTTTCTTGCATGGTACATGTATGAACTTCCACTGCTGTTGCTATTTATTATTATTACTAGCTTCACCAGCACATACATTATTGTTACATGTGCATCACTTTCCGAGCAAATAGTTAATTCGCAGGAGCTATCAGCGACATTCCCACCGAGGGCCTTGTACGTAATTGTCAGAGTTGAATGCCTGCTCCGAGCAATTATAATTATGAAACTCGGATGTTGAGCCATAAATAAATGTGGAAGAGAAAAAGACATATGGATACGAGTTAAGAGTAACTCTCCATCACTGTAACATGATACTATATACAGTCAGAAAGTGCAATAACTAGGCACAAAACTGACAGAGTACTGAAACATTCGACGTCCTGACACCTAGCTTTAACACATCTCCGTAGCGCTAACCGACAGCCTTCCAACTTGGAAGGTTCAAGGTTAGGCCACCCTTTCTTTTTTCGTTGTTTAACGTCCGCGCCCGCGTACCTTTTTGCCTCCGACCGAAAAAAAAACAAGAAAGTAGTACCAATAATATGCGAAGTTGTAAATACATGATTGTGTAGTTTCACATGCACAGTGTGCCGATCATGACCTTATTAAACTTATAATCTTGCCTCCCGGGCGCGGGCATGCCTTTGTCTTGTGTTCTTTTTTTGTTGGCTTTTAAATATCGTACGGTGTGTGCCCTAGTAAAAATCCAGATGTAATGAATTCATGACATGCTAACTCCATGCTATGTACTTGTTTTGTTGGATTCATCAGGCATGTGCTCCAATGTACCATCAAAGAGTGTTGTTCTATGCCCATGCCTGCAAGTGCCGTTAGACCCAGAAATATTGTATATATCACATGCTTTACTGGTCAAAATGTTTGATTGGGGTTTCCAGTTTTTGGAATGGGCTTTTGTTTTTTTTTCGCCCTCCCGCGTACCTTTTCGCGAAAAAAAGGACGTTAAACAATGAATTAACAAAGGGTGGCCTTATGGAAAAGACCAAAGAGGGGAAGGCAAGCGCAACGAAAACGAGCAAAAGCCACAGTCCCAACGGAACAAAGAATGTCGATTGTTACTGGACGATGACGAGACCAGTACGATATTTGACAAAGCGGTCTAACTACAATTCGAAGCAGCAAAGCAGCACACCACCCAACTTGGGTGGGTCATAAATATCAAAGATAAGTAACGAAAGGGAAGCTTTGCGAAAACGAATTGTACAAGCCGAAAGCCAAACTCCTACAGTACTCCTCATGCATGACAATGTGATGGACTAGTTGACTACAAAACAAGTTGTTTCACACGACGTACGTTTCGCCGTATGGTTCGTGACGGCTCATCAGGTGTGCAATTTGAAACTCGGATGTTGAGCCATAAATAAATGTGGAAGAGAAAAAGACATTTATGGATACGAGTTACAAGTAACTCTCCATCACTGTAACATGATACTATATACACTTTCTGACTGTATAATTATAGTATCATGTTACAGTGATGGAGAGTTACTCTTAATTCGTATCCATATGTCTTTTTCTCTTCCACAATTATAATTATATTAGTACTTTTTTCTATGAGGATCGCGAAGGGCCTTTTGGATTATTAATAGGCTGTGTTTACATCATGCATGAGGCGTTTCAACCCGGGTCAGATTTCAACCCGCCATGTGCACAAAGTGAATGGCGCGTGCACTTGACGCATTGCGCTTGACCCGGGTTGAAATTTCGCCCCGGGTTGATTTCAACCCTCCCCCCTAGGGGGGGGGGGGGGGGTTGAAACCAACCCGGGTCAAGAAAATCGCAGGGCATCCCATGCAGATGGGGACTCGGAACTGAGTATGACCATCATCAGCCATGATGGGGGAATGATTACTTTGTCATGTTGCACTGACCAGAATCCAGTTTGCCAAAGGTGAAAAGCTTGTCACAGTGATAGCGGCCATGGACACTGAGGAGCCGGGGAGTGAACATGCAGTGACGACGAATCTTGTATAAAAGGAGTCATCAACTGGAGAAGGATGTCTACGGCCATACCACGTTGAAAATACCGGTTCTCGTCCGATCACCGAAGTCAAGCAACGTCGGGCGAGGTTAGTACTTGGATGGGTGACCGCCTGGGAATACCTCGTGCTGTATGTAGACTTTTTTTATTTATTTATTTATTTATTGCAACATCTCAAGACTCGGCGGAAACACCGGCCAATAGGGACCTTTCGCATTTGCTACGAAACGAATGCGAAACGAAAGTTTGATTCGGCTCGTAATCGTTTCGTTGAAAACAGATTTCAGGTTTCGCAAGTCGTCATGCAAATGTGCATGGCAACTACGAATACGGCCGCGGGCGCCGGTAGCTTGGCGTACGGGTTTTTACACGCACACGTGCATGGATCATGGAATCAAGGGAAAAATGTGTACCTTGCAAAACATGTGTACCTACCCAAATAAATGTGTACCTGACGGATTCGGAGCGTGCCACGAATGAAGAGGCTTCCATTCGTGAAAACGAGTTCTCCGCAGGGACTCTGACGAATCCTCGAACCCAGGTGACGAATCAGCATTCGTTTCGTATCCGTACGCGGGGTGCGAAAGGTCCCTAATATTACGAGAGTGGGTGATTGCCAACCACGGCGATAAATAGAAATAAGGGGAGGGAAAAAGAAAGAGTAGCAAAACGAACAGCTTTCTTTTTCTTTTCTTTTCTTCTCAGTTTTCATGATGTTTTTCTTCTTCTCTCAACTACAGTGTAGTTCAAGTAGTGTAGCTCTGGCGCGCGTCGGTGGGTGGTTCGGCGGTCGTTCGGGCCAGCTTTTCTTTCCTTCTTTTTTGAGCTTTGTCCCCTCCGGAGCTCCGGATACCAAACCGTTTTTCCGATGATCATGCACTGACACACTGACTACACTTTTGTAAGCAACTACAGCCAGCTTGACCCTGGTGGGGTGAGTGGTTGGCTAAATCCCACATGACTGTGTGTCTGGTCAGTGACTGAGTGGTCACCGTGGGTGCCGCGATGATGATGTGCTGGTGCTTTGGGCAGGCTTTGTGCCTTCCCCTCTCCCGTTCCCTCCCCGGCCTCTCCGGACATCCCATGCAGATGGGCACTCGGAACTGAGTATGCCCATCATCAGCCATGATGGGGGGAATCGTTACTTTGTCATGTTGCACTGACCAGAATCCAGTTTGCCAAAGGTGAAAAGCTTGTCACAGTGATAGCGGCCATGGACACTGAGGAGCCGGGGAGTGAACATGCAGTGACGACGAATCTTGTATAAAAGGAGTCATCAACTGGAGAAGGATGTCTACGGCCATACCACGTTGAAAATACCGGATCTCGTCCGATCACCGAAGTCAAGCAACGTCGGGCGAGGTTAGTACTTGGATGGGTGACCGCCTGGGAATACCTCGTGCTGTAGACTTTTTTTCTTTTTCTTTTTCTTTTCTTTTCTTCTCAGTTTTCATGACGTTTTTCTTCTTCTCTCTACTACAGTGTAGTTCAAGTAGTGTAGCTCTGGCGCGCGTCGGTGGGTGGTTCGGCGGTCGTTCGGGCCAGCTTTTCTTTCCTTCTTTTTGAGCTTTGTCCCCTCCGGAGCTCCGGATACCAAACCGTTTTTCCGATGATCATGCACTGACACACTGACTACACTTTTGTAAGCAACTACAGCCAGCTTGACCCTGGTGGGGTGAGTGGTTGACTAAATCCCACATGACTGTGTGTCTGGTCAGTGACTGAGTGGTCACCGTGGGTGCCGCGATGATGATGTGCTGGTGCTTTGGGCAGGCTTTGTGCCTTCCCCTCTCCCGTTCCCTCCCCGGCCTCTCCGGGCATCCCATGCAGATGGGCACTCGGAACTGAGTATGCCCATCATCAGCCATGATGGGGGGAATGATTACTTTGTCATGTTGCACTGACCAGAATCCAGTTTGCCAAAGGTGAAAAGCTTGTCACAGTGATAGCGGCCATGGACACTGAGGAGCCGGGGAGTGAACATGCAGTGACGACGAATCTTGTATAAAAGGAGTCATCAACTGGAGAAGGATGTCTACGGCCATACCACGTTGAAAATACCGGTTCTCGTCCGATCACCGAAGTCAAGCAACGTCGGGCGAGGTTAGTACTTGGATGGGTGACCGCCTGGGAATACCTCGTGCTGTAGACTTTTTTTCTTTTTCTTTTTCTTTTCTTTTCTTCTCAGTTTTCATGACGTTTTTCTTCTTCTCTCAACTACAGTGTAGTTCAAGTAGTGTAGCTCTGGCGCGCGTCGGTGGGTGGTTCGGCGGTCGTTCGGGCCAGCTTTTCTTTCCTTCTTTTTTGAGCTTTGTCCCCTCCGGAGCTCCGGATACCAAACCGTTTTTCCGATGATCATGCACTGACACACTGACTACACTTTTGTAAGCAACTACAGCCAGCTTGACCCTGGTGGGGTGAGTGGTTGGCTAAATCCCACATGACTGTGTGTCTGGTCAGTGACTGAGTGGTCACCGTGGGTGCCGCGATGATGATGTGCTGGTGCTTTGGGCAGGCTTTGTGCCTTCCCCTCTCCCGTTCCCTCCCCGGCCTCTCCGGGCATCCCATGCAGATGGGCACTCGGAACTGAGTATGCCCATCATCAGCCATGATGGGGGGAATGATTACTTTGTCATGTTGCACTGACCAGAATCCAGTTTGCCAAAGGTGAAAAGCTTGTCACAGTGATAGCGGCCATGGACACTGAGGAGCCGGGGAGTGAACATGCAGTGACGACGAATCTTGTATAAAAGGAGTCATCAACTGGAGAAGGATGTCTACGGCCATACCACGTTGAAAATACCGGTTCTCGTCCGATCACCGAAGTCAAGCAACGTCGGGCGAGGTTAGTACTTGGATGGGTGACCGC